CATGACCTAGCATAGCAATGCGAAGCTACTACTTACTGCCTTCCCCCCCGCGTGCGAACTTCCGTTCCTGATCCGATGGAAACAACCTTCTCCAGTTAAACGACACCAGAGGCGGCCAATGCTCCCTGTCTGTCTGTCTCTCTCTCTCCGCCCTATGCTCCAACGCCCCAACCTGATGTTCACAGCTCCAGCTCTATGGCCCGGGAGCAGTCGCCTGTCCTCCCGCCTGCCTCTATGGAGTCTCCACGTTAGGGGAGTAAGGTAGAGCTGTCGTGGGGTGCGACGCAACTCTGAACCTGGCAACCCGCCGAAACATGCCACTTGCAGTCGATAGACCTCTCGCTTCCGACCAAGACACGACATTCTTTACAACTCATTGGAGCCTTGTTGTCTCAATCATTCCACATCGTTACCTCGCGAACAGAGAACTCCGAAGAAGAGAAGCAGAAAAAAAAGATTTGGCGATCACCAGACTGGCAAGGTCCCGACAAATCTTCAGACGACTACCTACAAAGTATTCGTACGGGATCAAGGGAACCAGACAATCAGAGCAATAATTAGGCACTCGAGCCAAACTAAGCCACCCTGGCCCAGCTAGGGACCAAGGCACGAGTCCACCTGTGTTGGTGTGCTCCGTACGGACGAGGCGTTTACCAACAAAGGCCGCGTTTCTTTGAGCGTCTCTCTTGTTGGCTTAGTCGTCTGGCATAGATCCCGGGGCAGAATTACTCCCATATCACACACCTCCACCGTATATCGTCATGTATGCGCCTGTTTCAAGGATCCGGATCATCCAAGTTCAGAGCAACGAGAACAACCGACGAGCGGCAACAGCAACAGCGCCTGCGAGCACTCGAGAATCGAGAATAAAAGTGCCATACATAAAATTGCTATTTACGAATGTGCAGCTCAAGCACGCTATCGGCCCTGGCCATCAATGGGTCTGGGCTCTGGGACGAAGAGAGGGTTATGGGTTACTGGGATGGATCCATGGGTTATGTTCACCCCTCCCCCAGTGACCTTTCCCCGCCGCACCGGCGCCTTACGGACACGTCCATCGCTCGGGAGGCCGACCATCGCTCGCCCATTGCCAAAGGACGACCACGGGCCATGCTCCATGCTCCTTGTTCCTGGCGCCCGTCCGCTGCGCTCACGGTCATGTCCACTTCCACCTCCCACCACCTGAGAGGTACATACCAGCATATCTTGGCCCGGTTGCACACTGTGGGACACGGGGAAGGGGACAAGAGAGAGTGAAGGTGGAAAGATACAACAGAGACGGAGAGGGAGAGAGAGAGAGAGAAAGAGAGAGAGGGCCAGCCAGCCAACCAGTCACCTTCCCTCGCCCAGCCGCCCTCACCCTCACTTCCAACGCCAAAACCTACGCCCCCTTTCTCTCGGCACACACCTAGCCCCACCCGCCCTCTCTTCTTTCTCTCCTCTGCCGCTTTCTCCTTCTTTCCCGCCGCCCAGCGTCGTCGCTCTCTGCGCTCTGTGAGTTGAAGGTGGGAGGGGGAGTGTGTGAGTGAGTCTGGTCTGGTCTGGTCTGGTCCTGGACTTCCTGCTGCGGTACGGTCTCCTGCCCCTCCCCTCCCTCCTCCTTCTGGCTCCTTCATCCTAGCGATCTGGTGGTGCAATACGACCAATGAAGGCTGATGCTCGTCCCCGACCAGCGCTTCTCTTCCATTTCTTTCTGGCAACTTGTTGGAAAGGACCGTCTGGACTGTTTCGCCCATTGCTGGACTTTTGGATCCTCTTCCAAACGCACTCTGTCTCGAGCCCACAACTTTTTCTTTCTCACTTCAGCTACACCTCGATTCAAAGCACAGCATTCAAGCGGAAGGGTAAAAAAAAGTTGAATCCGGCCTGGACCTCGACAGCCCTGTTGATCATCAGTCGACTAACCCCAAGGCATCCTGACCGTTCAACACCACCACCACCACCACCACACTCACCACATGCTGTCGGCTGGTCCAGCTCGGAGCTACTAGGTACACCCGCCCACAGACACACCCCTGCCGAATTGCTGCTCCTCCCCAAAATAATATTATTTCTCGCCCGGAGGCTTGTCTTTGCGACTCACTTTCTACCTATCCATCTGCCTACCACCGTCGAACAACAACACACGATACCACCACGTCTACAGATCACTACACTTCCACGATACTCTAGCCAGGGACAAAGTGTTCGACACTCGTTGTCGAACCTGATTAGCATCGGCAGTTGGCAATGGCCTCTTCAAAGGTATGCCCGGAATCGGGATTCCACCCCATGCCCTGCCCTGCTTAGCTCGCTCCCAACACGCATCTCAACCCAGTTTTGCTGATCACTTCGTCCTCTTTTAGGAAATACAGCAGACCACAAGGCCATTGAACCAACACCGTCCTTCACTATCAACTGCTTCCTCCGGACTTACCACACGACAATCCCACTCCCGTACCAACTCCCACTCCATCTTGAGCGGCGCTCTCAATGCCAACCACCGTGTGACTCGCCGCAAGTCCATGACAAACACCGCCGCGAACGCAGCGGCCATGGCAGCGGCAATCAAGGAAGTGGGCGGCGATAAGGTCACGCCCATTGCCGTCAGCTCTCGTAGGAACACGGCATCGAAGAGCGCCGCAGCCCGCGCCGCAATCATCGGGAGTCTTCCCTCGCCCCCAGCGAGTCTGCCGACGCATAAATTCCTCTTGGACGGCAAGACAGAAATCCACGAGAGCGCCATTGAGGATGATCCAATGAACGGGTCAGCCGATGAAGGCGATGATAACGCTCAGAAGGCTCGTATTCGTCGCGCCAGTGATGGTCAGCCTCTCGTAAAAGAGGGCAGAAAGTTCAACCGTATCGAGCTCAAGTGCGAGACCTGCGGAAAGGGATACAAGCACAGCAGTTGCCTGACCAAGCATTTGTTCGTTTCCCTTCCCCTTCCCCGATCCCCTTTTTTCATTCCAAATATTGTAGTCCGGGTTTCGAGACTTGCATGCTGGGTTCCCCGTATCAGAACTAGTCGGGCAGTTTGTTGACTCATTTCTGTTCAGGTGGGAACACACTCCCGAGTGGTCCTTGACTTCCAAGCTGCTTATTTCTAAGCATCAGCAAGTCCAGCTCCTCGAGGCTGCCTCTGTCTTGTTGACCATGAACCACAAGGAAGAGGGTGATGCGGCGACGCCCCCGGATTCCGCCAAGGACTTCCCTAGTGACCAAGAAGAGTCGACTTCTCCCGCTGCTTCTGGATATTCAGACGAGCGACACAGCTCTGCCGATACCACCCCACCCCCTCAATTGGAGGGATTCTCGTCGTCGGATCGTTCGTTCGCGAAGCGTTATGGATCCGGAAGTGGGTTCGGTCGATCATACCAGTCGGCGCCTTCCATCAATCCTCTCGTGACAGGCAGCATGCCCCGTAGATCAGGATTCTCTTCACACTTCCGTCAAACCAGCCAGGACCAACGACCGCCGTCGTCAGGAAGAAATGCCACCGGGCAAGAAGATCAGGATTTGGCAGCCGCGGTTGAGCTTCTGAGTTGCAGCTTCAACAGCAACAACGGAAGAACAGTGCAGCTTCCAGCAGACGCCCCTCCCGTGCCTCCGCTACCGGCGCAATATCTTGATCAAGCGGCATCCTTCTCGAGTGCTGGATTCAGCGCAGGTTTCAGTGCCGGATTTCTGAACAGCTTCCCTAGCAGGCAGCCAGAGAGCTTCACACGAGGCGAGGTCCGCGGCTCTGTTGTCAAGATGGAAGATAGCGACAGCGTGATGGACGATGATGACTTTGACAGCCGATCTCGATCTCGAAGCGACGAAGATGACGACGGCGTCTTCGGCCGTATGGAGGAATAGCGAAACCCCGTTCCACGATTGATGCCGACGATATCTGAGGATATGAGTACATAACGAAGAGGGAAAGTGAGGGGAGGATGTGTTTCTTTTGTACCACCATATACTAAACCTTGTAAATGAGGTGGTTCTGTCTCCGCCGCCGATCTCTCAGCACCAAGGAGTGGAGGGCCCGATCTTGCATCATGGTCTGTCCAAGCAAGGCAGGTCGATAGGATGTGATCGAGATTGCATCTCCACGAGGTTAAAGTGAGAGACGGATAGGGCGTCGAGCGAACGCCCAAAGCTATCACGCTGATGGTCATGACGAGACAAACGAGTGCGATGCCCAAGATTGGCCGCGACGCTCCGTGTTCGGTATGAAGCCAGCATAACGAAATTAAAATGAAAAAGATTAAAAAGTTCAAAAGACTGGTTGATATTTGCCGCTGGTGACTTGTATCGCCCCTTGTCTGAATGAACAATAAGACTCAATGTATTGATGGCGACGAGATACTTGGGCTTGGAGCGTGGCTAATGTTTACCAACGATGATGGCTGGATTGGCGAGACAAGCTGGGAGATGGTTGGTGTGTTGGAACGCCAGCAGCAACCTTAACCAGGCACACCCGGAGCTTTGCTCCCGAAAGGCGAAGATTTGCATGTGAGCTCATCAAGTTTTGAAGATCACACAGACAAGACAGACACCAAGCAGAGCAAACAGGGAGGCAAAGGCAAGGTGATAGGTTGGAGCAAGGCCAATTTTTGACAAGGTACAGATAGCAAGCAGCCTCCCAAAATTTGGAAAACTTGGGAGGGGTTTGCATGTATTAAATATTTCTAGAGCGGAAGGGGATGATGGAGAAATTTGCATCGGAGAGAAAGGTGAAAACATAAGAAAGGGAAAAAAATTGATGCAAGAAAAAGTCTGCAATTACGGATCATGGACGGAGCCAGTAGAAAATACCCATCCTTGGGAGCCCGCTCACAGTGGAGTTTTCCCGTTTACTGGGCGGGCTGCTGAGGCACGGCAGCAGTCGTTTTGGTGTCCGGCGGTGTGGGGAAGGAACTGAGGAAGGTAGGAGGACTCGAGGCAGGAGGACCTCTTGGTGGCTCCTTCGGTTGATTTTGCCCACTGTCGGACCACACAGCTTACCTCACCACCTTCTATGAGCTGCTGTTACCCCAGCGGCGTCACCTTTACCCGTCCAGACAGCTTCTTTCTCCACTCGGCATCATAGGCCACTGTCCACAACAGCTGCCCCGGGGCGGAAAAAACGTACAGGTCTCACATTTTCTTTCCTCTTTGCCCAGCTTGATCTCATCGTGTCGCAAACCGCACATCGCAAACGGCTGCTGCTGCTGCTACTACTCATTTCTCCTACAGCCTCGCTGCCCTCACTCTTTTTTTTCTAGCTCTACCCCTCTCGCACATCTGCAGGTAGCGCATCGCCAATTCCGATTTCAAGGTTCTCAACTACGAACAACAAGACACGTTGCTTCTTCCATCAATACTCACACGCCCAAGCACAGCACACGCAAGATGCCTACGTTAAGACGCAGAAGAGAGGCCTCGCGCCCCGTCGAGGAGCCCGAGGTCGACGAGACGACGTCCAACGCGATCGAGCCTATCGCGAGCCACCTCGAGCGGCTCGACACCGCACCTGACGGCACGGTCGAGGCACTGGCTGTTGTCAACGACGCGACAGAGGTGGCGGCAGCGAAAGAGACAGAGGCCCTCCAGATCAGCGAGAGGGATCGGGATCACCAGCACCCGCGGAAGCAGCGATCGCACCTGCCAAAGGCGCTGCAGTTCCCCCTCGTCACGGTCTTGAGCTTTAGCATCTCAAGTCTGTGCTACAGCTTTCTCAGCGAGTGGAGCCGTGGGGAGTTGGCGGGGATTTCAAAGAGCTTGGATACCTGGGGCGAGGTTGCGACTTTGGCTGGATGGCGCATGTGAGTTGCTTTGTGAATTCCGGGGTGATCTTTCAAAGAGGATCGCTCGAGGACTGTACAGGAAATGGCGTTTTTGCTGACAATCGCGTCTTCGTGTAGATTCGAGCTTGCCCTTGGCTGGTTCGGTAACTTTGACAGCTATGATCTCGCTGCGCTCAACCTACTCGCGCATGGCCCGCCGGTACGTTTTGCTCCGACGAGGAATGATGATGACACCAGGCTTGGGTCAGTCAACTGCAGCTTTTTGCTAACATGCATTCTGCATCTAGGTCTACCTTATCGCTACCTTCTACAACATCAGCACCGCCACCGCCATCTCGGCTCTGGGCATTGAGATGCTGTCCACCTTCCTGCCCTTCCAGCTTCTGAGGCCTTTGTCGGGCGCGCACGCCGGCGCTAAGAACGTCGCCAACCGAGAGATCCTCACCGACATCCCGATCCAGATCTACACCACTATCCTGTCGGCAGCCATCTACAGCCTCACCCTGTTCACTGCTTACAAGACCTACCTGCCCACCGCCCTCGTGGTCTACTTCCAGGGGCTGCCGAGCCTTGCACCTGCCTACACCACCAACTTTTTGGCTACATTGCCCGTGACAGTTGCGTTTGGTGTTGCGGCAAAGTCCTTCATCTTCACCCCCTTCGTCGCGACTGGCGAGACCTCCGAGGACGAGAAGCTCGCACAATTTGACCCTGCGACGGCCACGCTTGGCGAGACTCTGGCGTGGAACATTTGGGGCTACACAACCCGGGCAAAGGTTGTCATCCTGCGAACCTTTGTCGCCATGGTCGTCACGGGGGTCAACACCTATCTGCAGACCTTCATGACTGTCAACGGTGTCGAGTCGTATGGTGCGACTGTTTACTCCGGCGCCTGGGTCGCCGCGGCATTCTTCACCGGCATCGGTCTTGCATTTGTCGGTGGTGGAGACTCATGAGCGGGGATTGGGGAATGTATACCTTGCTTTGCCTCGTGACCAAGGCAAATTCTACCTTGGCGAGGCGTACAGCAGATGCTGACGGTCCAAGAAGAGGAGTTTTGGGGGCTTTTTGAGGCCTAGGGCGGTCTCTTTTTTTTTTTTTTTGTGCTTTTCGGGGAACTTTGCGCACCCTTGGAAACGAGGGGGAGGTTGCTTGCTTGGAGGAGCGATGATGCAGATCGAATGGTTATTGCTGCAGTTGCATTGCCCGGTGATCTATCCAAGTCGATGTATACCAATCTTTTCTTGCGTCTTTTTTTTTTTTGTTCATGTCTCGAGTAGTGTACATCGTTTGGTCTTCCCTTTCTCATGCGTCTTGTCTGTCTAGCGATATCCTGATGGTGATATGTCCAGCGAGACTTAGCTATCGAAGACACGTTCAAGCCAATATCGCAGGTGACGAGAATCAGTGACGTGATGGTTCGTGATGTTCACTTTGCCTGCATATGCCTAAAAATGGCACACATATCTAATTCACTCGTGACCATCAACAAGGTAAACCCCTCCGCGTTCCACCCCTCTAGGTTACCCCCTTGCCCGAAAGTCAGCCTCGCCTGGACAATAGAATGGACCTAGTCCCAATCAATCGGCTTCGTGCAGGGAGCTAGCGGAATTTGTTTCGTTTCCTTGTCTTGGATTTTTCTTGGGACGGATACAGGAGGGAGGGAGGGGGGGAGGCTGTCTTGATGTCTCTGGTGAGTGGTCAGCTTAGCCAACGTAGGGCTGAACAGGTGGGGGAGGTAGGAATGACGGAGGTTCGGTCAGAAAAAGCAGGATATTGGGATGTTGGATTACCAATGCGGTTCGGCGAACCTGAAGCGTGGGTTGATGAGCCTGTACCGTGTAGGCTGGATTATCATTCTCCAGCTTGTTAGGGGTTTTACCTTGCCTGCGCAGCTGATGGAGAACATCTTCTCCTGGAGTTGGGCAAGCTGGGGTTACGGATCAGACGGGACAGGCAGAGCACAGGACAGGACAGGCACATTTGATGTGAGGTTTTGTCTCAAGTGAGGCGGACAAATAATATGCAAGCCTCGAGCAGAGCGCGGTGGCTAGGCGCAAGATGCAGGCGCAGGGTTGCAAGGTGCAGGTTGCAGGGTGGATATGGTGAAGGAGGATTCCCAGGTTCCTGGATTGAGGTGTCACGGTTGTTGTCGGTGGTGGAACTGGTGGAACTTGGGGACGTGAATTGGCCATCCTCCTCCCGAGTCCCAAGTGAGGCCTCGGAAGCTCGGGCTTTGAAAGATTTCGTCAATGACATCCCATGAGCCATCTATCTCCGGGATTCCTGATTGGGGTGATTTGCGCCAGGGCTAGTTGGGGTGCTGGGTTTGGCGAACCATACCGAGAGGATTATCGACCAGGGTGTCGTTGCCTCTTGTTTTCCTTGGGATACCTACCAGTGTTTCTCAAGGCAGTTTTCGGTCACTTTTTATTCTTGCTTTTTTTCACATCGGGGTGGAAGAGAAGGGGGGGATGGACGGCAAACGGGGGACGGGATTCAACTGAGACAGTGAGACATTGGAAAATGCGTGATTCTCAAATGGGCATCTTGTCTGTTGCTTTCTTGCCTATTTTTCTTCGAAACCACCTTGCTTTGCTCGCCTGCAGCACACATTTCTATCTTGTATCTGCACGTATGTGGATTCGGACTCACTACATTTGCATGCATGCCCGCCCGCCGCGCCTAGGTGAGGTAGATCAGGGCTTTTCGGGTTTGCTTGTGCCCGGACGCAGGGCGGCAGGGCGGCAAGGTCAAGGTCAGACCTTTGTTCGTGCGTCGTTATTGTACCGTAGCATTGCGGCTGGAGCTGGGAAGCTGGGAGCTGGCAAGCTGGGGGAGCAATGAGCGAATGGGCAAATGAATCATCGACATTCGTATGGATGGTCACGACGACTTTAGGCTGCCGCCCTGGATGACGACGTGAAAGAGAAGGGGAAAATATTGTCTGCCTGACTAATATGCCGTACCTTGACGCGGCTGTTCGGGTGTATGGGTGTGCGTGCGAGTGTGGGGGGTTGGGTATCGGGGGGGGGATGGGGATTTACCGGGAAACGACGATCAGTAGATCAGCTCTATGGATTATATCACTTTTTGAGCAGGGGGTAAAGGAGGCACGGAGGATGGAGTTTGCCGAACCTATCTAGGGCGAAAAGGAGGGTAGGGGGGAACTTGGTGTTCAGGCACCGCGGGGAGGCATCGTCGTAGACTCGTATCGTTTGCATTTTTTTTTCTTGCTCGAGTGACGGTGGTGGACCGGGGTGGGAGGAGTTCACTTTTTGCAGTTTCCCCTTCAGCTTATTCCGGTCGGACTCTTGATTGGGAAAGTGATGTTTCGATTTGCTCATGGAGCGGCTGAGGCTGGTCTCTTTTTTCTTTGGATTGTCTCCAGTGGTTGCTGGGAATCTGCCCAGCGTGCTGAGGGGCTGATTATGGGGAAGTCGGGCAGCTTTGCTATTTCGTCGATATATGATCTTCCAAAGGAACCGCCATTTTCTCGGAAGTGAATGTGGTTTTGGTATGTTACTGCCGAGCTTTAGAGTTATTCCACATCCCCTCGCCGGTGGAGACGACAATTCACAGTCACTTTTCGGGCCTTTAAGAGTCATTTTGCTAAGAAAAGAAGACAGAAACAGAGACAGATCATGGCTCCCAAGTCGAAACAGTCATCAAGAAAGGGCAAGGAAGCCGCTGCCGTAGCCGTTGCCGCTTCCGCCCAATACGAATACTACGATGAGGTCTCTCCTGCTGGCACGACGGGTAGTTACTATGCCTCTTCGTCAACCACGGCGACGACTGGGCCTAGTCCGCTCACGGAGTATGAGGAGACTCCAGGTGCGGCAGCGGCGGCAACTACGACAACGACGGCTGTCGTGAGGTCCAAGTCGATCCGGAGCGAGGGCGAGATTGTGTTACAAGGTCCCCTCGAAGTCGCGGGCTCTGTGAAAGCTGGGGGAAACATCACGCTGAATGGGGACTTTGACGTGAGGGATAAGGTTGAGGCGTATGGGACGGTTGATGTCAACGGGAACTTGGTTTGCGAGTAAGTACCTTTATCCTCTTTTGAGGAATGAATTCCCATGTACAGAAGCTGGGCCGTATGCTGATATCATGGTGTGTACAGTGGGAAGATGAAAGCATATGGCAACATTTCAGTGGTGGGGTACATGTCTATCAGGTAAGTTTGTGTTTGAGTATGCCCCAATGATTGAGAGAAGACGACGCTAATATCTTTTTTTAACAGTGATAAGGTGAAAGGCTTTGGAAAGCTGAGCGTCATGGGGACGTGTGAGGTCAATGATCTTGAGATATACGGGAACACGATGATACATGGGTTCCTGTAAGTTGTCGTGAGCTGTTCCCTTCCGAGAGGCCCAAATTCTGATTCTGTGTTGTAGGAAATGCAAGAAATTGCTCCTGTACGGGTCCCTCACAATCGTGGGTCCGAATTCAGGGTACCACGTTGAAGAAGAGGAAAAGATTTGGGGAGCGATTATCAGTCGCGAGGAAGATACGAGTTGGTGAAGTTGTGATGCTTCACGCACTTACAGAAACGGATGAAACTGAGGTCATTGCGATGTCTTGGATGCGTCGAGACGGCGGTCCGGATGTTAGGGCGTTAGCTTGTCATTTGGCGTTTGGGAGACGGCGTTTGGCACCAGTATTGGCTTGACAAAGGAATGATGGTATGGGTGGGAACACAGCTTGAGAGGCCAGTTTTCTAATAATAGAAATGCAAATCCGGAATGGAATTTGAGGAGTAAACTTTTCTGCTCGTGCTTGCGCGCCAATTAAGACAGTGGGCTCTTTTGACCGTTGTGAAACCCTAATTTGACCTGGGGACCAGTGCGTAGAACCATGGTCACAATGAGGGGCAAAGAATGAGATGTGACCGCATCTTGTCATGCGCTCGAGTAGGCTGGCGATGTCGATGCCCTCGACGAGAAGGTCATTAGCCTCGTCAGATTCGTTGGCAGAGACACAATGATATTCATATCTGGCATTCGAGCTAATTTGGCTCTGTGTTTCTGTCGTAACTCGATACTTCTAGGCCTACAGTCTACTCCTCCGCCTCGTCGTCCACTCGTCTCAGCCGTTCCCTTAGCATCCCTTTTTGGACCTCAATAACTTCGCCCAGAGTGACTTGTAAGGAAATCGTGTCCAACCTCTTCTTTGTTCTCCCCGCCCGCTTATACGCATTACCTATAATGGTCTTGGCCAAAGTCTCAACGTCACGGCCACTAGCCCATCCCCTCGTTTGGCCGAGCTTTCTGAACAGACGGTAGACTGTCTCTAACTTCTCCTCACTTGGATCTTTTGCTACCACGATGTCGATCTTGAGCTTCTGAACCTCTTGCCTGAGATGCTTGAGGCAAGCGTGCGAGTTCATGGCTTGGAATGTGATGTGTTCCGGGAATCTACTACGCAAACCAGGGTTGATTCGTAAAAGATGTTCCATCTCCGTGGTGTACCCAGCCAATATTATGACCATGTTATTCTGATAGCGCACCTGTGTCATTGCGTCGACCAGCTCGCTGAGAGCCTCTGCGTGGAATTCTGAACCACTTGCCAAGCGATAGGCTTCGTCAACAAACAAGACCTTGCCCAGGCCAGTCTCGAGGGTCTTGACAACTTTGGGTCCCGTCTGTCCCAAATATTGCCCGACGAAATCAGTGACCGAACAAACCACAACCTCGTCTGTGGATAGTAGGCCCATATCAAAGTATAAGCGCCCTACTTTCTGAGCAGTTGCCGTTTTCCCCGTACCTGGTGGGCCCTGGAAAATGAAGGCCCATGGAATGTGAGGTCTGGGATCAATGTCCCAAAGTCGCATACCGTCGACTAGGTTCTTATAGCCTTCGAACTGCTCGACGATCTTCTTGAATCCAACGAAACCTTCGAAAAGCTTAGCGCGACTTTCGTCAACCCGCAATGGCCGGTCCCAATCAGGGTCGATGTCACCAGACTCTATCGTAAATTGTATGGATCCTGATCTGTGGTCTGCGGATCTGCTTCGGGCGTTCATGCGTACTTTAGCTTGAGAGAGTAGGCTCTCAACATCTCCCGCATTTCCGAATCTCGGATTGATACGCATACGGCTCAAGACTTGTCGAGACACTGCGGCAGCGTCCTCGGTCATCTCAAGACCACACTCATCAACTTTCATATCCATGATTCGACAGAGTTCATCCTCACTGTACGTGTCGAAGCGCAAGGCAGTCTCCTTTGGGAACCGCCGCTGGAGCCCGGGGTTACTGTTGTTGAATAGTTGGCTCATCTCGGAGTCGTACCCAACGAGTATGATGCATCTGTCCTCTGGTTCCGCGGAGACATTCGCGACGAGGGTGTCAAGAACAGCGATCCTGAAATCGTCCGTATTGTTACCGGCGTCTTGGACGCCAGGATACAGCATATGTGCGTCATCAATAACTAAGACGTTCCCGTTCGCTTCTTCAAGAACTTCCTTGGTCTTCATCTCGGATTGCCCTGTATGCGGGCCGATCAAGTCGGAAGGATTTCGTAACATGACCTTCTTTCCAGAAAGAAGTCCAAGGTCGATGAGTATCTGGCCATATAGCTGCGCAACAGTAGTTTTACCTACTCCAGGAGGTCCGAGAAACAGCCTGTTGAGACCAATTTCAAGGGGCTTCATCCCTTGAAGCTCACGGCGGTAATTGGTCTGGGCAAAGTCGATGATGTCGCCAAATTCTCTCTTGACCTTTTCGAGTCCAATCAGACCCTCTAACTTTTTCCATGACTTGTTATCGTCCCTCAGATCTTTAGGATCCGGGCCCAAGAGATCCGATGAGGTGAAGAGGCGTTTCTGGTCATCGGTAGCTTCGGTGACGTTGCATTTTTCGTCGGTCTCCCTTTCATTCTGCGTACGTTCGCCCGGCAGAAATTCTGTTCGAGAAGCTTGAGTTAAACCCTGTTGGAACCATTGGACGTGTTCTCTTTGTAGCCGGAGAGCTTGCCGTCTGCATGCATTGTTTAGTTCTTTCTCTAAGTGATGTACGTTCGAGAAGGAAGCCGACTTCCGTTTCCGGGCCACTCGCCGTACCAAAGCATGAAGGCTGCGATTCTCGGGACCCCCTTCGATTAACATGCCCCGTTTCTGTATCATACGCACAACGAGTTGCGTTAGTTCTTCTTCATTGTAGTCTGGAAGTTTCAGTGGGCTCTGAAACTCCCGCAAAGCCTTCTCATTGCGCTCCATAGATTCAATCAGAATTTTGTTTCGCGATGAGATGATCAAAATGGACTCTGCCGCAGTCTCCAGAAGATCCTTAATATTGAGTGAGGTTCGGGTATGAACAGCCCCAAAAAGGTCGCTACTTTCACTATCGGAAGAATCATCGTCACTGCTGTCTGATGAATCTTCATCCTGTACATTCTCGTCCCAAAAAACAACCTGTCAATCGTCAGGACCTCACAGTACATGGCCATGAATATCACCTACTGTCGGGGGGTTGCGTAATGTGGTTTTCTTGGGATTGGGTGTCCCGAAAAATTTCCGCCCATGTACAGCTCCTATAGAATAGAGAAACTGTGCGTAAAGTTAGGCTATGGATTTCTTGCCTATACAAGATAGTCAATGGTACATTTTCTCCTTCTCTACAAGGGGGCTTACCTGTTCCATCTTTCCCATAGAGAACTAGGTGAAGTCGCAACTTCGCCAGGCGGAATCTCGTTAGACAAGGGTCATCTACCTGACTCTCCCTGACCCTGGCCTTCACGGCAAGAAAATGGGCCTTCACATTCTCCAAACCAACCATTGACATGACTTGGTCGAGATACGGGTTCTCTTCGCCGTCTTCCCGTTTTTGTCTCAGCCATTCTAGCCTTGACTGTGACCGGTCGTCAACATCCTCTGGCATTGTTTCACTGACCACAGACTTTGCCCATGAAGACAGATTGTCAACTCTTTGAGGTCTCGTATCATGTTGGTCATCTGAGTCACTACCGTCATTATTGGCCCGAACCTCCACGAAACCCTGGTGAAATGGCAGAGATCTCAGTGCGGCGCGTGACTGTTGCAGAGACCTTCCATGCTGTATATTTCCGTTGTGGATTTTACCAGTACCTTGCGTGCCATCTGCCTCTTCAGACTTCTTCGTCTCCGCCGTGTCTTCGACAGTATCTTTCTTGTGTTTCTGGCCCGTGACACTCTTCGCGGCAGTTTCGGTCGGCGTGTGGCAATTGCAAGGTTTCTGTGTCTTGGCCTCCACAACGTTATCAAGAGATCTCCTATCTTTATCGTTCTCACATTGAACGTTAACAGTGTGCATTTCTGCGGCGTTTTCGCTGTGGCCATGGTTCTCATAAGTATTCTCATTTTCTGAGCTATGATACTCCGTATCGACCGCATTCACGGCATTATCACTGCTTGACTGCACATTTTCGTTGATCAGGCCCTCCTTTGGCGTCTGGCGGCCGGTCTGCACCTCCTCGTCGTCCGATTCCATGTTGAGGTTGGGAGTATAGAGTCTAGATGGATGTTCTTGAATCCCTCGCCCATATGAGGCGTGGCCGATGGAGATTTTAAAGACAGTGTGTGTCCCACTTCCAATGATGACAGTGGTCGCGATTCACTCTCGTTTCATTTTGCCTGAACGAGCGAAAAATGAGGCAACCGCCGGCGTAGCCGCAGGCAGACTTCCTAAAGGGCGTGGCTGTAGGCAGTCATGCCGCAAGAACAGATACATGCAGGCGGCCTACAAGAAAAAAGCCTCATGCAGACAGCCTACGAGCGTGGTTCACAGCCTCAGCCACTGCAACGGGCTAGCCATGTCAGCCTACATTATCTCCCCTAAGCAAATACCGCATTGGAGGTATACGCCGTCAAACCTGCGGCATAGAAGTTGTTCGAGCGAGGCCTCCTGCGATTCTCAGTGGCAGAGGGGATGTTGATGCATTGACAACGATCGATCGATGCTCATTCAACTGCTTACCACCACGGGGTCGGGAAATTTCCTAGCCAACGCCTATTTCAATTTGCACATGAGTCTCAAATAATGTTTAGAGACGACCTAGTCTATTATTTCAGTGAAGCCTTGAGAATCAACTCCAATCCCATTAATGATAGTAAATACGTGCAAACTTCCAGCGAAGGGGCCGACTCTTGAGCATTCGGGGCTAAGAATTATGGCAAGTCATAGTTGTAGTCTGGTCTGATCTTCGTCTTCACCTCTCGCCGAATCCTCAACATTCTTCTCCAATCGCCCCTCGAACTTTTTGAACTCGTTCGCACTGAGCTTCCCCATATTGGTAGCAGATATTGTTTGAAGGGCTGAGTAGAAGTGTGCTCTCGTCAAAATACGTTCGGTTGTGTCATTCGGCTGTGAATTCACACAGTTGGTAGCAGCCATGACGCAGAGATTCTTGAGGTTTGACCCAGTGTACTTCGGGGTCAGCCTTGCAATGAGATTCGTGTTTATGTGCTGCAATGTCTCGCCCTCGAGTAGCAGGTCCAGGATCCCAGCTCTCTCGCTTTGTGTAGGAATGTTGAGATGTATCTGCACCGGTGCGCGTCGAAGAACGGCCGGGTCCAAGTCAAGAGGCCTGTTTGTGGCAAGCAAGACGAAGGGGGCCTTGGTGTCTATAACGAGACCGTCCCATTCCATGAGAAACTGGTTTAGCATTGACCTGATGTGTCTAATCTCGTCAGCTTTCCGTGTACCAAGCATTGCATCAGCCTCGTCAACAAAAACTATGCAAGGGTATAGTTTCCGGGCCAGAGAGAAGATTGCCTTGATCATCTTTTCGTCCTCCCCGTGATGCGCCTGCCAGATCTCGGAAGTTGAGATAGACAGCATGTTGAATCCTGATTGTTTTGCCATGCCTCTGGCCAACATGCTTTTGCCTGTGCCTGGGGGTCCATAGAGAATACAACCCGTGACTTTATTACCCTTGAGCACACCACATGAGAAAGCTTTCGGCCGTAGGAGCGAAAGCGAAGTTACTTGCTCGAGCTTGTTGATTATTGAGGGGTCAATAAAAACGTCTCGGTAGTTTGGCGCAATGTTGTCTGTTGCACAATATTAGTGGCGTTGAAAGCATTTACATCGACGTGTTTGGATTCTGACCCGTGTTGACGATGCAATCGAGTAGCATCTTCTCGAACCGCCCTTTGACCAAGCTCTTCCACTTTCGCATCTTCCGAGAGTGACTGTGCTGAGTTGCACTACCCAATATTGAGTCTAGATCGCTGTCGTAGACATTGAGATGTTCTTCGTCATCGTCAACGTCCTCATCATCTTCACTATTGCCATTACCCCCGATGGGCTTCCCAGATTGCAGGCGATGGCTCGAATGGCTATTTCGATTTTTTAAATAACTTGGGTGATTGCAAATTGATGAATCCGGAACTTCTGCAAGTATCACAGGGTCGGTGTGCAGGTGGTTATCATCCTCTTCCGAAGAGTGCTCGCCCTCGACTTGAGCAGTGAAACCACGTTCATCTGATTGCTCATGTTTCTTTGGATCCTGCTGCTGTTTCGTCAAATCTGTTTCCTGGTTCTTTCCGGGTGTCTGCGTCGGCAACTGGGAGGATCTTTGTCCAACAGGTTCTGGGTAAACAGGCACATCGATTGGATGGGTTTGCATCCCCAACGCCGTGAAGTAGGCGTCGAGGTCGCATGCTTTAGCAGTATTGCGAGTCATTTTCCTCCGCTTTGCCTGCTAAATTGCAAGATTATGAGACGGCTGTTCGAGACGGTTCATCGTAACAAAGATTCCCAGAGTTGAGTCTAGGTGGTGGTGAGGCGAAGCTCCTGCTTTGTACGCCTGCCTGTAAGACCAGCACCCTCACCGAGCTTGCATCAGGCAGCCATGGAATTCGCCCAATCGACGGGCAACCTTCAAATTCATGTGTGTGCTTGTATTACATCTGCAAGTGAGCAGCCACAGCGGCGTCCGGGCAATGCTGCCGCCCATTCCAAAGTGGTTCGCCTTAAGTCTGACACCAAGTCCGCCTCAGAGGCCTCCATTCAGCCTGCCTCCAATGCCTGACCGAAGCCAAAACAGAAGTTTGATGACAACGGTGTACTTGATAAATAGATTCAGTAGGGTTTGGGCCTAATAAAAGCAAAAGACTCCGTTGACCTGGGCCAGTGAGCGCAGACTTAAGGAGGAAGTCCATACCGAGCCTCTCGCTTCCCTTGACCGCATCTCTTATCTTCAAACGGCATCCAGTCGTCACATAAACACCACGTCCGTCACTGATAGACAAATCAACTGCTTTGAGGTCTTCACCATGTCTTCAAGATCGGCGACTTCGGGCGGAGGCCTGGATGAGAAGACTCGGCTAGAAAGCCAGTCGTGCGAGGCATCCAGTCCTCAGACTCCTCCCAGTCAACCAAACGCCTGGTCAGACCACAGTGCACCAGTTCGATCGAGCTCGGGCATTGAACCCCTGCCACTTCCTAGCCGTGTCAAATTGGGATCTGCCGGCGATAAGCCGAGAGAATTCTTCCGTAGGCTACGACGTCAGCCCGTCCACCCCGTCCACCCAGCTTGCCAAGGCCCCTCCATCAACTCTGAGGAACGTCCTAGACCCAGAGGTGAACCGGCCCAATGCGATTTCCAGGAAGTGCTGGATAAAGTCTTGCCCAGAACAGACGGTGTGGCCAAATATCCCGAGTTCGACGCTGCTGGGTTATATGTTCAGTCTGAAGAAGTTCTGAAGGTTTTGTGGCACGCTGAAACGGAACGATTAATAAACATTGCTAGGAATCCGGACATACCACTTGAATTTTCAAGTAGGAAGTTCTTTCAAGGAGACACCGAAAAGGGCTATCGGGACATATCCAATTTATGCCAGAAAGTCTTGATAGCTCTCTCAATTTGTCTTCTCGAGAACGAACAGATCAACTTGGAGCACTGTGCTCGGTTTTCCAATCACGAAAGGCCCTTGAGCTTCATCAAGCAATTCTCTAAGGGCCAGACTATCTTAGAGAGCGTTGTGGGCATGGGAAAGGCCAATTTCCTTCAAGAAACATGTTCCAGCCTCGGGGCTACTTACGAGCTGCTCAACTACATCTCGGCAGTCTTGACGAGACTGATCGTTCAGACCTCGCCAGGCTCTTACTGGCAAACAAACGTTCTTAGTGTTCTTATCAAGCGAATTACCAAGATCAAGCTGTTGTTGATAGACCTACCCGCGAACTCTGTAATCGGTGCCGGAGCAGCAGGTGCCTTTCTGTCCAAAATCCGCGATTCCATTAGTACGCAACAAAAAAGTGGCGAAATGGATGAGGATGAGGAGTGCGAAGACTTTATGCAAATGGTCGAGACACAGTTGGAAGAGGTGCTCGTATCGTCTGAGGAAAAACAGGCAGCGGCTCATTGTGTCGAGCAAAGTAAGTTTCAGTTTGGGCTGAATTCAGCTTTGAGGCATATCTTGATATCCATGGGATCCACCAACCGCGCTGGCCTTCCATCATCGTCGTTCGAAATCTGTGCCGTAGCATATGAGACGGGTTTCGAAGGTTTCAAGGTATGTGGTACACTCGCTCGAACTCGTTCTGTATTCTGAACCTTCTATCACAGGCGCTTTTGTTCCAAGATAGAGATCTTCAGTATTCGGCAACGTCGGACCTTGATAATATGAATACTGCACATTCAGCATTCAATATCCTCAACCAGATAGTCATACATCTCAAGCATCAAAACCGCGAGCAGGAAGAATGCACCAACGGCCTGAAAACAACTTTACAATGGAAATATTGCGGAGATGAGGACAATCGGTCGGGTCAGATCGATATCGATCTTGCGGGCTCCAGCCAACGTCTACGACTCAGTTCCATGGACGAAGTCATAACTGTGATGGTACCTCTAGCGATGACTTGCCCGATCTTTTTGGCGGATTTCACCAGCTTCCGACATGTCATAGCTCTGACGGGTTTTATCCAAGATGATGTTCAGCCGCTAGCGGAAGGAAAGTTCGGGGCCTTCTTCCGCATGTACACCAGTCAGTTCGACAGTATGAGGAGACCAGGCGTTCTTCATCTTTCTGAAGCCCTGGACTGTGGCTTTTTCTCGCGGTCCCGGCTAGTGCGGAGCTCACACCCTCCACCAAAAGAACAACATGAGGCAACGCATCAACTTAATGAACTCAAGAGGCTGACAAAGTACATGGATGAGTGGGTCGTCGATGAAACATGCGTAACGGTGTCTTGCCCAGGATATGTCTGGGGCGTCATTTTTACAGCCGTTCTATTTGCAGCAGGTGGTTTGGGGGTCGGCTTCAGCGTCGGCCAACGGATCAATGGTGTTGATCCCTCGAATTTGGCGACCTACCTTTGGGTTGTAGCTGCTTTTATCGTCTTGGTCGGAAAGAGCATGAAGGTCAAAGAATGGACATGGAATGACTTTCTCCGGGGGCGGGTTCGCTGCTGCTCAGTTTCTGAACTACAGTCAGTCACTAGGATAGATGGGCAGCTCATCATCGCTAAACTCTTGCATGATGAACGGCGCGGAAGCGTACTGGAAATCCGTGGTCCTTACAACTCGGCTTTCCTCAGAAGATCTCCTGATGGGTTTTCGATCGATAAACCTATCAGCTCGTCAACGCTCTTGATTAGCGGTTTGACGATGCTGAAGGTTGTAACGGCAAAAGGGCACGCCTTGGTGTGCCTCGACTTTCGAAGGGGAACAGATTTGAGAGTCATCGGCCATATCCCAGACCCCGAAAAAGAGCATCTGATATGTGAGCAAATCGATAGATTACAGCCCGGGGTTGGTGCGACTGCAGATGGCGCGCAGCATCAAACCAAACATGCCTTTTCGCGATCCAAAGATTTGAAGTGGAAAAGGGTACAGGGAATCTACGAAAAGATGGATGCCAAGTTTGTATGAAGGCAGTTGACTTCAAGGCCAGCTAAGGTGGTCTAGAATTTCCTATGATTAGATAAGTGATTTGAGTTGAGCATGTCAAATTCAAAGTTTATAGAGCTTGCTCAGCATTCGAGCCTCAAGCAGTTGTTAGCTGTTCATTTTGATAGTTGATGAAGCGACCAAGGTCAGCGCCATTTTTTCGAAGCGGAAATCCCGTATCTTCGGAGAGTACGGCAAACTGGGAAATGGCATCGAAAAGCTGCAACAAATTTCATCAATACAACAGGTAGATAGGACCAATAGTAGTTAAAGCAGGCGTTATATGTATTAGAACCACCCTGATGAATGCCAGTCATGTTCGATGCTTGCCAGGTTAAATACCTAGGTGCCAACATGTGGTGAGATAAGATGAAACAAAGCGATGGAAAGATACGTATCTGGGACTCAGTTTCTTGTGTATTCGGAAGTTGAATAATCCGTGGCTGTAATGTCGGTCGAGCACGGACCAGGAGTGCAGGGGCCAAGCGCATCTGTCAGTGGATGTGGGAAGCCCCGCCGCCTCCATCGCAGCTGCCCCCAAGGTCCCTAGCGGCAGGGAGCTCACAGAGCTAAAGCGAACATCACGTCGCGACTCCCCTTGCATACGCGACCCGCAACCTCATCTCAAGCATGCGCAACCGTATGTCGCAACACGCCCAACAGCCACCATCGATTCTCCAGTGTCAAATGCATCTATAGCGCTCGATGCGCCGCCCACCAGGCCGACCAAACACACTCTCATTACACTCCTTCCGACAAAATGGCCTCCACCGAAGAGGACGCAGACGCCATGGACATTGAGGTGTCGCCCAAAGACAGGACCTCGGTCGAACACGACATACACCAGTCGCTCGGTTCCATCAGCAACTCCGTCGAGTCCCTCGAAATGCGCGCCGATCCAGACGCGCAAGCTACTGTCACCGACTTCCTCGACTTTACCGAATACCTACCTTCCGATATGACGCGATCGTTGACTTTGATCGGCAAGCTCGACCAAACATATACCGAAGCGTCAATCAACGTTCACAACCTCACCTCGACCTGGGGCAAGCTACCTAGCATTCCTGCCGAAGAGCGTCCATCTCCAGTACAGTTGCGCGCAGACATTTCTGACAGTCTGAACCATGCCGTCAGCTCGCGCGTTTATGCGCACGCCGAGGCAGTTCGCATGTCTGAGAATGTCAACCGTCACTATAATCGCGCAAATACGATACTAGCCAAGTTGAAGAACCTGCTGGAGAATTATCCGGCGGAGGAACAAAAGAGTCCCGTGGCGACTTCCAAGTCTCAGCTTGTCCGAGCGCCGCGGGTGATGCGAAATGAAGACGGCGAAAAGGTGCGAAGGCCACGAATCCCCAGGATTACTGTGCCTGGCGAAGTGCTGCCGCCTTACGACCAATTTGTGGCGTACTCGGACGACAGCGACGAGAGCTCCGAAGAGGAAGATGACGAATCCCTTGGCCGGACGCCAGCTCGAACGACACCAGCACCGCGGATCAAAGTTGTCAAAACCCCCAAGGCCAGGCCCCCAAAGACACCAAAGGCTGCGTCCTCAGCACGACCTCCAAAATCTGTTGCGGGCCCGGCTGCCGCGCCAACTCCTGCTGTTGTGCTGCAGCCTCCGCCAGAGAATGCCGTGATAGGAAGCGCGGATGCTCCCTGGTTGCAATTAACGCCGTGGGAACTTGCTAGGCTTAGAAAGCGCATGAAGAAGAATGCAACCTGGAGTCCAAGCGATACCATGATTCTACGAGAACTTAAGACACTCGGCCGTGGAATTGATGCCTACAAGGAGGCGAAAAAGAAGGCTGAGGACGAGGGCAGAGTCTTTGACCAAGTGCCCGCGGCTCTGGCTCCTGATGCTGAAGCTGGGAATAAACCAATCCCAGAAGGTGCCATTAGCGCCGCTGCGCTTGCGTCTGATGATATCCAGCTAAGCAATCGGGGCATGAAGCTCAACGAGGCCAAGAAACTCAAGCGAGAGTCACTGGCTAAACAAGCCGCAGAAGAGGCGGAAGAGTCAGCCAGACAGTTTAGGGAAGCTGCAAGGCTTTTGATGTCTCATGAAGCATCGTCGTCATCGGTCGCGAACAACAACAACAATAACAACAATAACAACACTACTACACCCTCCACTTCGAATAATAATCCTGCCAACGCAGCTGCAGATCAGCCAAAGGGTGCAAGCAAAGCGAAGACTCCAGCCAAGCCAAAAGCCAACGGCAACAAGCGGAAAAGAGATTCTTTCCCAGAAGCCGAGGCCGAGAAGCCTGAGCAGCCGCCAGCTGAGACACCAGCGCCTCGTCCCGCTCCAAAGCGCACCAAAACGGAAACTCCGGTCCCACTCCCTCATCAGCGAGCCAGTCTCACTGCACAATCCCTAGCAGAGCCTCCTGTACCGCCTCCTGTTCTTACACCAGGCGGTACTGCGGTCACTCCTAAGATGACGACCCCAGTGCCGATACCTGTTCCCGGACAGGATGGCTCGGCCATAGGCCCTGGCGCTGCGGCTGCAAAGCCGGCCAACACATCCGCGCCGGCTTCTTCACCAACTGGTTCAGTTGGGCCCCCGGCTTCAGTCGCAAGCACTGTTCCGGCAAGTATACTGACCAAGCCACCCGCGGAGACGCCAATACCGCCACCCGTTCTGTCTCCTAAAAAGTCTACCACGCCCATTCTTCCTCCGGTGCGTGACTCTGCAGCTCGAAGGGAGACAAGGGGGGAGATGGCAAAGAAGAATCAGCAGCAACTGGAGAATCTTACTCCGGTGCCGGCGCCGCAGATTCCGCAAGCACAGCGCTCGTCGTCCGCAGCGCCTTCGATCAAACAATCGAGCCCGCGTGCGGCGACACCGGGTACAACACCGGTGCCCGACGGCCAAGGGAGACGTCCCAGCTCGCGAGGAAAAGCTATGAGTCAAGAGCCACAGCCTTCGCTAGCAACTGACCGACCCCGTCGCGCTAGTACCGCGCGGAATACGCCAGCTCCCGAGCAGCGACAGCAGAGCAAGAGGACTAGAAAGCCTGTGCCTGGTATCGTCAGCAAGACCAACGCTGGAGGCAGCAGTGCCGTGGGTAAGCGAAAAGCGGCTCCCAAGAAGAAACGCGCTCAGAAAAAGGAAAAGGGCCAGCCGATCGAGATCGAGTTGGAAGAAGACGACGAGGGTAATCCAATCGACCCGAAAGAACCACGATACTGCGATTGCAACAGAGTCAGTTTTGGCGAGATGATTGCGTGCGACAATGATGTAAGTACTTAACGTCCAGCTTGAGGTCTAGGATTGCACTGACATTTGCTTCTTTTTTCCCCGTTGAAAAGAATTGCGACAAGGAATGGTTCCATCTAGAGTGTATGGGTATGACCCATATTCCTGCGCGCACAACGAAGTGGTACTGCCCCGACTGCCGCCTCCGTTTGAACATTGGGGAGAAGGGCGAGATTAATGCTAGGGGGATTAAGGCTTGAGAGGAGGTCCCAGATGCGAGGTATGGCGCTGAATTATGGGGAGAGAACTCTAACGGCGTTTTGGAGGGGATTTTAGGAGCGAGGAGTGAAGTTGCCGGGGCTTATGATGGACAAAGAGCCAGTCTTGTATCAACAGTAAATGAAAGCTGCACCACGGTGTGGCTGTTACGGCACCCGAAAATTGCTATAGGACAGATGACGATGATGCCCACTTCTCGTGCCAGACCGTGTGGTAAAGTTTCTTTGCATAAAGGTATGTCTTCTGTACCGGGCTTCTAATGCCAGCTTCGGGCAACTACAGTACTCCGTACACGGGACAGTTCGGCACATGTGGGGCCGGACAGTGGAGATTGGCATTGCCCATTGGGAACCTACCCTTACTCTAATGCTCGAGTGACCGAAGCCTTAGCGTGGCCGGTTGCAACCCCACGCAGTCTCGAAACACAAATTTCTAAAGACATTGCTGTCACCAGCGTGTTGATCGCGCACAACCCTCGACTTCAGGATTATTTGCTGGTCAGGGGTTGTATTGCCCCGAATTCTTCTCAGAAATTTCGTATCGTTGCTAGTTGTCGAGATATCCGGGGTTGATGTATTGAAGGTGTTGAAAGTCAAAAGTGGTTGAATGTGGTCAGTGCGCATGCAACCTTCCTAGGTTGATGTTGGCGATGTGGATATGAAGCACCCCCCCCCGGTGCCCTGGGTATGTTTGCTTCTTTTCTTCCATGCCTTCCCCTCTTCTGTTCTTCTCCTTGTCTCTGAGGTTTGTTGCCTCCTGTCGCTTTGCCTTCTGTTTTCATTCTCTCCTTGCCTCCGACGCGTCTCCAAAGTCAGCTAATACGCGTACGAATACGTCGCCCATCTTTACTTTTCACACCGCTGTTGCCAAGGCCTTTTCTAGAGTACTTTGACCACTTATCCGAGGATAGAATAGTACTGAAAATGGGGATCAAGCAGTTTGTTCATGCTTTTTGAGCTTCTGTGCATGTACATCTAAACTTAAGCTTACTGATTCCAGTCAATTGCTTTAGGTTCTGGGACCTCGCGGGAGAAACTGGCGTCAAAGTGTCCTTGGCACAGTGGGCCAGTGATCACTTGAAGGAAAAAGGTCGCCCGCTGCGCATAGCAGTTGACGAGGCACACTGGCGATACAAAAATATCCCGGAAAAGAGAGTAGCCCAAATCAAGAGAGGTTTGGCGTTCATTTTACACATACCTATTCTTCCCTGCACTATCCCGCACCCAGTTGACATGTTTTGGGTGGTTTACATGTCATCGTTCTTCCTTCTGAAGAATCAAAATAATCAGACACTGACAGTCCGAATACAGACAACCCAGGTTCTCTTCCAAGAGAGAAGCAAATCCTAGAACGTATCCTTCCGCTGCAGCGTCTCGGTATCCACTTGCTATTCGTATTCGATGGGGACGGGCGTCCGAGCTACAAAAGAAGCCACAAGAGAGGCGGTCAACTCGAAACTACTACCGCTGATCTGAAGACCACACTGGATCACATCCGCGTACCCTGGTACCAGGCCCCAGGAGAGGCAGAAGCCGAGTGTGCGCTACTCCAACAGAAAGGCCTCGTTGATGCAGTCTGGTCCGAAGATGGCGATACATTCATGTTCGGCTGCACCGTCCTCATTAGGAATCGGCGCGATGCAAAGGGCGCAAAGCTCAAGGAGGACGCAGAACTTTTCGAGTTTGAGAAACTCTGCGAGTTGCAGAAAGGCCTTGACAGTAAGGAGAGCATTGCACTCCTTGGTATGCTTGTCGGATTTGACTACGTCCGCGGCGGACTGAAAGGCTGCGGAATCAGTCTAGCGCAGCATCTTACCAAGAAAGAGGCTCTCGTGGATGAATTTTCGCATATCCAGACGGAGGAACAGGCGACAAGATGGCGAAAGAGCTTGGAAGCATCGATCGACGATATTCTACAGGATAAGGTCTTAGGACGGAGCTTGCACTTCGACAAGGGCAAGTCTAACATGAAGAAGTTTCCAGATCTTGAGGCTCTGAGAACTTGCCTATCGCCAGTCGTTTCCGGCTCGGACGCTCTCGAAAGACTCCCGTTCCTGCAGGGCGAGTGGTATCGTATGCATACGACCGAAACCCTCAGAACCTCAATTCCCTGGATGTCGCAACATTACTATTCGAAACTCGATGCTGCTGGGTGGGTTCAGATATTCATACCCACGGTGGTTAATCAAAAGCTTCTCAAGGGGAAAATCGGTTCTCGGGATCTCTTTGCCAAATTCGCCAAGAAGAACAAGGAAGCCCCAACGACCCCCGTCAAACTGGATCCTCGTAAGGCATTTCCTGGTATCGAGAACATCTTCGTTGGGTCAGAGTGTGCGATCGAGAACGTGAAATTCGAATTGCTCGACGCAATTCTGGAATTTGAAGCGAGGAAGGAACCCCCAACAAGATCGAGAGCACGGGCAACTCCTCTAGTAAGTTTTGCTGCCAAATTTCTTTTTGTAACTGATCTCTTTCTGGCGATTGGAGATGCGTTCTCTGACACCTGTATACTTACATGCGGCGCTCTTGAAGTCAAGGGTGACACCGAAGACATCTCACGGGACTTTTTGAAGCTTCGACCACAGATTCTCACTAAATACAATCAGAAGCAGCCTCCCGCAAAGAAGGTTCAGGGCAAGAACCGAGTTAGGCTTGTTGGCAATCATACTGCACCAACAACCACAAGCCCTTCAGGCCGTTCCCGTCTATCTCAGGCTGCAACGAATGCAACGCCAGCGAGTCCTGTCGATCTCGCAAAGAAGAAATCTACGAGCCTCGACGCAGGCCAGAGCAGCAAGGAGACACTAGGAGACACACGATCCCCAAGCTCTGGTCTTCGACACGGCAGTACCTATACTCTTGATGGCGAGAACTCCCACGAGGAATCGGTCTCCACTAAGAAGAGAAAGCTGCAAGACCCGATTGTGGAGGATGTACTAGCCGAAATTCCCGGGATGAAAGCGAGACGAATGATTCTTGAGATGGCTACATACTCCTCTCAGGAGTCCGCTCGATCAGTTCCCGAGTTTGAGATGTACTCCTCTCAGAATTCGATCTGGACTACCGAGGCAATAGGAGAGAAGCCATGTAAGGAGGCTGTCGAGGAATCTGTGACGGGTGCCGGTGGTGGCACGATTGAAGATCCATTCATTATTTGATATCTTTCAAGCTGGCTATGAGTTGCTTGAAAACGCTGAATTGCTACCAACATACCCGTAGGAAGGAATAAGAAAAGAACAAGTAGGACATTACATCCCTTCTCATTGAGTGATTCAGAGCCCATTTCAAGTGTCCTCCTGCTCCATTTCCGACGGAACTTCCGAAAGACGCAAAGGTGCAGCACTCCCATATCATTACAAATCAAACCCATAACACACCAGAAGGCTCTGGACGGAAAAGACAATAGACGATGAACGTTAATTCGCAACAAATCTAAGTTAGTGAAGCAATGAGAATTGTGTTCCTTTCCCGAGGTAAATATTCCCGTTCCGAAGCTTCCATCGGGTGCCGTCAGGGCTTCCGGGCCGAAGACTTGTGGGGTGGTACAAACCCCCCCGCCCGCCGTCCCGCATTTGAGAAACGGGGACGGATATAAACGTCACCTCACTTCCTCACACACGTGCTCTGCATACCGTATTGCCGTACACGTTACACTCATCATTAATTCTGTACCAATATAACCAACTCGTTCGAACGACCAAGGCCTTGACGCTCGGCAGTCATTGCATAAAAAGAGACGGAAAATAACCATGGCTTCATATGCAGCTACAGAGGGCGTGGAGCCCAACGACAGCTACTCCAAAATGGAGCCGTTTTCGGCGAGCCAGACGGCGATGGAGCGGGACCTCCGACTCCGGATACGGGACTTTTACCGGACGAGCGATAACAAGGAACTTAATGAGCGTTGGATCGAATTCTACACGCCTGATGCCAAAGTCAAGATTGGTCCGGCGGCGGCCGAGAAGCATGAGAGTGAGTTTGCTACCTAGCCCATGTGCTAAAAAGACACGGGACGGCTGACATGTTTGTAATATCAGACCTCCGTCAACTACGGGCGGACATGTGGAGCTCAGTCGCGGCGAGGAAGCACTGGATCACGAGTGCGATCGGCTCCGCTACCGAAAAGGGTGTGCACGTCATGCTCAAGGGGGGAGTTCGGAGGAAGGGGTTGGATGGTGGTGAGAACGTGTTCAGCTGGGCGGGTAGCGCAGACTGGGTGAAGCAGGATGGGGAGTGGCGGATGGATGCATATCGAGTCTGGCTCGACCAGTGGGCTCCCATTGAGGGGGAACTGCCTTCGGTGTCAGAGTTCTAAAGTGTGACATATGACGGCGCAGGCTGAGCGGGATATCCAGCAGTGTGAAATGCGCTGAATAGCAACAAGAAATCGATGTGAACGGGGGCAATCGGGCCATTGAGATGTGTCACTCAATCATTGAACGAGAGACGCTTGACAATTGGCGGCGCAATGCGATTTGTCGCAGCCACCGTGTTTCGGCGAAGGCATTGTTCTACCGTCTTTAGCAGCGAGCAGATTGGTCTTGAATTCATCGATGACGGCAGATTCATCCGGTGATGGCTTCGACCTCAGACCGCCCCATGCGCTTGCTTGCGCTTCGACGGCGTAGCGGACGCGGCTGGCCCCGTGCCTTGCATTCATCGCGCGTCGCCTCGTCCAGGCTTCGTCTCGCGTCGCTACGCCCCATCCGAATGGGTTGCTTAAGTAATTGGACCGAGGGTAGCCAGAAATTTAGGCATTGCCTCAACAAAAATCATGACATTTGCCGGCATCTCAATTCTTGAAACGGCGATGATGGAGGTTCGCAATCCATCCAGTAAAGCTGAAGACGAGGTTGGGGGGAATGAGGAGGGGTATCCAGGAGAGCCCCTCCATACGTCAGCTATGGTGCGTTGTTCTCGTGGTCCACGGTAGAGCTGTGAGTGGCTCGTTCACCTGACGTGGTGCCCCCCGTTCCTCCACCGAGGGGGGTCAGGTGTCTTTGTCAGTCGGACGGTCTGGCCCTGAGCCGCCGAGAGTGTGGCAGTTCGATGGGGAAGCGGTGCGATAGGACGGACGGATGACCGACAACGGGAGGATACGGGATAACGACGGCATACCCCAGAGGGAAGCCAGGATGCAGGACCACAATCTTGAAAGTGTTTGGCGGCAAATGAAGTCGACACCGTTATTTTAGTCTGGAATCCGTCCATAATTCCACCCCAGGAGGAAGCTTGGTCCAGTCAGCGTCGGTAGAGACTGCGCCGCTTGTCATCAGGCCAAAGCGGGATGATGGCATCGGTTACCAGCCCCAGATCGTCACCCTCAACTATCTGTCGTCCGTCTTGCCGTCGTCCGTCTTTCGTCTTCAAAGGTTGCTGGCAAAGAGGCAACGCACGCACAGCCCAGGTGTCAGCAGCTGGTCCCCGCTCCAAGGATGGCTTGTTGGGGGATTTGTGATGGGATTTGTGATGGCAGTGGTCTCTGGCTTGGGCATTGTAGCTTTTGGCTGGACGTCGCGCCGTTGCCGCCTGCATCTCCGGCCTCGGCAAGAGACTCTGTACCGGTATGTGTATGCAGAGCTGAGCTTAGGTAGGCGTTTGATTGACTTTGTGAGTGTGTGCGTGTATACCTAGGTACTAAAGTGTATGTGTGTGTGTGTGTGTGTGTGTGTGTGTGTGGCAGACACTTCGGAGATTCGGTAGAAAGCAATGGAAGAAAATGTGTCAACCTGATGGTGGACGGAGGAGAGGGGTCTCAGACAATATTGAATTCGTAGTTGAATCAGTGTTCCGTTCCTCTGGCATGACGAGAGTGTGACTTGGTCGCTTCCGTCAGGAATATTGAGGACAGACGAACTGATAGCGCTAGGTACTGCGCGCGTACTCCGTGCCTGCAATCAACTAGTTTGTGAGAGAGACAAGCCGGAAGGCGCAAATAAAGGAGGTAAGTAGTAAGTTGAAGCTTAGCCAGGCTGGGCTGGGCTGGACTGGACTTGACTCCGGTTGACGAGGTCCAATGTAAGGTAAGATACCTTAAGGTAAGGTAAGAAAGGAGTGAGCGAGAGCGAGGGCGTGTAAAGTGTTCAGGAGTGCCTCTTGAGTCTTTAGAGTCTTGAAAGTGTTAGCCACGGTATCCGCGCCCGCTGCAGCCCAGCATGTCTTCCATTGTCTCTATGGGTACGAAGTAGGTAGGCACGCACCTGCCATACTGTTGTTGCTGAAAGGTACCTGTTCGTAGGAGGATAGACAGCCGGGACCATGTATCATCCGTCAGCTGGTATGGTCATGTTCGAGTTCTCCGACAAGCAAGAGCTGCGGGCGGAGGTACGAGAAAGGGACATGACCAGGTACACAGCACCGGGGCCCCCCAGACTAGCAGTCTCAAGACCCAACCAACCCCCCTTGTCTGCTGCGAGCTGTTCCAAGGTTGGTGCGCTGTATCTGCACTTGTATCCGCGGTGCGCGTCCTGCCCGTGATGTGCATCGCAGGTAGGTACTTGCCGGCGAGGTTCAAGCCGAGAGTTACCTCTGGCCTGGAACCTCCCAGCTCGTAGATGCAGTTGCAGGACAGTGCCAATCCAATCGCAGAATTCCACCCTCTCTCTTCTGCTTTCCCCTCCCCCTCTCTCAGAAATGCATCCCAGCAAGCTGTCTGCACTTGACACCCCTGTCACCCTAGTTCAGGTTCCTCCAACAGACTCAATGAGATGGGTGGGCATGGAGGGGTGGCTTGGAGAGGAGACTGGATTGGGGGGCACCGCGCCGTACTCGGGGGTGATGGAGGCGGGCAATGGAACCTGAACAACTGGGGCGAGAGAGCGAAAGCACTCCAATGCCCCGCTTCCATCCCGCGGGCGGCAGCTGAAGGTACCTGGTCTGCCTCAGATATGGCTTTCATTGCTAGGTAGTAGGTCAGCAAGGTTCTGTTGTGCCTGGATCAGATATGTCGTTATGACTGAGGATGACTGAGGCGTTGGGTTGTTAAGTGTGAGAGTTGGCAGGCCTCTCGCATACCAAACGAAGCAACCTGGAACCGTCAGAGAGGCCCTGTTACGTGCCCAGGTGGTGCAATGTGGTGTCTTGTTTGGACAGCGTGCCCGACTACCTTTGCCCGAAGGTACCATACCTTACCTAAGGTACCGTGGTAGCTGAGGGATGGAAGGAAGAGGAAGAGGAAGGTCTCCCATCCCTATCTTATCTTAGATGCCGCCGCCGCCGTGGAGGGGGTGGAGATGGGACAGACCACCCCTCCGGCCTGACTTGGACCTGCTGCTGCTCTCCGTGGCTGATGGCGGGGGGGGGGGCAGAAGGCGGGCACGTACCAAATCAAGCGCAGCCCACCTCACCTACCTACCCGGAGCACACCTCACCCCAACTGGAACTGGAACTGGACCGGACCTGGGACCTGCCTACGCTACCTGACCTGACCTCACTGTCACTCACTCTTCCCCGTGCTCTCTCCTTCGACTCATCAACATCAACAACTCAAACAACGATCCACGATAGCAGCATTCCCGTGAACACAATAGTCACGTCACGTCCGTCACGACCTGTCACGTCCTTTCCTCTTCTGTTTCATTCTATAGATTTCCCTTTGGCCATCCTAGTAATCTCTCTCTTGCTCTCCACTTTGGCAGCGCCTGGAAAGAAAGCCGCTCTTTATCGTCTCTTTACTGCTTCTTCCCTTCACTTTCACCTTCAACACCGACGTCCATCTTGCCTACCCAACGGTATTCGACTTATTCCGTCTTGATTTGCCTGCCTCTATTTGCCACGCAAAACTGTCCATATTCAAAGCATTTACAAAAAAATAGCCTGCGGCAGCCTTCGTCATCCGAGGTCATCTGCCGCCTTTGTCGACCCTTCCACGCGACTCTCTAATAGACCAATAACTCAAGTTTCGTCCTTTCCACCCTAACAACAACCCTCATACGACGATACCGAACCACTTGCCACGATACTTGCAAATTCGTTTCGCATCAACTCCCTCGATTTCCCAATAAGCGGTACAGCTGGCTTGCGGAAACGCAGGTCCTTGGAGCAGGAGACTGCTCCAACTGCCGCGCAACACCACTTGAATGCCGAGTAAGTTCGGGTCTCTCTCCTCTGCGCTCCTGGGCTGTCATACGCGCTGTAACCCATGTAGTAATGGCATACTCATCATCTACTTCTCTACAGGTTCGAAGAAGGACAGAAAGAACGCGAAAGATGGTGCAGTTAGCGCCGCGGTGACGAAACTCGCCGCGGGCAAGTTCGCGTAGGTTCCCCTCGACCCCTGCCTGTCATCTTAGAACCCCGCGATAGTCGGCGTTGAGTCACTGCTGCAACCCCTATGACCATTCTGGCTTTGTCGCGACACCGATGGCTAACAACCTCAAAGAAACGGCAGTCCTTCCAAAAGCCCTCCATCCGATGCATCGTCGCCTCCCGTTCACTCTCCCGATATTAGACCAATAACTCAAGACCCGTCCCCATACGATGGGCACCCCACTGTCTCGCCCTCTCTGGATGCACTTTCCACCACCTCGGCATCGGCTGCAAGTACAAACCACGACTGGGCAAGAGGGGGGCTCGCTGGCTCTCCAGGCAACTTGATCAGTCTCATGGGCGAGTCACCGCCCACTCAACCTTCCTCCTACGAGGACTCTGGTCGCCTCCACCACGGATGGGCCGTCCAGCGCCAGTCCCTGACGCCCCAAACTGCCTCGCCTTCTCCTCCCAACAGCATGCCAAACCATATGAAGCGGCCTCTCAGCTTCCAGATGGACGCGCAGTTTCCCCTCGAGGCCTACCATCAGCCGGCTGCAGCTGCAGCATACCGTCGCAGCTCCATGCAGTCGCAAATGTCCCACGCCCGAGTAGGCCCCCAACCCCCGCTCCCTCATCAAGCCCAGCCGCACTTTTATAGTGCTCCCGACATCGACTTTGATATGGCTGCCAAGGCTGGCATGAAGGCCGGTGACAAAGGCTATTACTTTGGCTTCGATTCACTTCCTGCTGCACACAACGAATTCGCTCCAGGATCAGACAACGTTGCGCTGGCGGGCTATGAGGGTGGCCTCGAAGTCTACTCAGTCAGCAAGCGCGGCTTAGACCGTGTTGCCGGTCTCAAAGGGCTGCGAGGAGGCGTATACGATGCCAAGGTTCTTCCTTGGTCAACTCCTGGAAACAAGGTTGATGATTCTCCGCTTGTGGCTGTCGTCATCCACGGGCCTGTGTTACCACAGACATCGCCAGAGATTGCAATCCAAACAGCAAACGACACCATTACCGAAGACAAAGCCGATGTGCCAGGTAGTCCTCGAGCCGATGGCAGCCAGAAAGGAGGCCCTTCCGGTCGCTTTACGCCGGCCATCGAGTTTTACCAGACATCAGTCGAGCTGTATTCTCTCAAGACTGGCAAACTCGTCGATGTGCTTCTACAAGCTCCCAAAGTCCCACTGTCAACACCAGTCACAAGCCCGATCTTCAAGGCGCCGCCGCCGACGGGCGCATTCACGATCAAAGCTGATGCCGGAAACATTGCAATCGCCTCCGGAACCAGTGGAGAGTGCTGGGTCTACCGTTCCATCCTCGATTCCAACGACGGCATCGTTCGCTTCGGCTGTGTCGGTAAACTCTGGACTAGCCTCCAGCAGTCCCCTCGAGGAGAGGTTGCCGAGGATGCTGAACGTCGCCACTCACCGGCGCCTCCTCGTCCCAACCCGCAGATTCCAATCTTGTCGCTCAACGGGAAATGGATTGCGTACTGCCCTCCGGCGGCATCCTCGCAAATCGCTCTGCGCGCTCACGTACCGGTGGCCATTCTCGGGAAAGCTCCGGGCATCTCTTCAGTGACGTCTCCCGTGCTACCCGCAGTTACCGGGTCTGTCGATTCTCCCATGGCCGAGAGCATGGTCAACAAAATAATGCGCGAAACAACGCAAGAGTTGATCTCTGGAGCAAAGTGGGTTGGCCAACAAGGACTGTCGGCCTGGAACTCGTACTGGAATAAGAATGCGAGCCAGGCACCTCCGATGCAGTCTCGATCCCCTCCGGTGACAGCTCAGCAATGGGCCGGCTCGTACCCTCCTCGGCACGACGCAAACCAATTCCCGCCGACACACGGTACACCTGGACAGGCAGTGACTAAAGACCCCGGTCTCGTCTCTATCCTCGACATGGACAGCTTGCCAACTTCTGCCACCTTGCACCCGCTCATCACCTTTGCATCTCCGCTTGGTTGCAGCTTCTTGTCCTTCTCACCGACTGGAATATCTCTGTTCACGGCGAGCGGCAAGGGCGACGTGCAGACTGTATGGGATCTGATGTGCATTCAGTACACCAAGTCGTCACCTCTTCAGGCGGTCGCTGCTAACAACGCAGTTGGTCCACGAGTGCGCCAGGTCGCGCAATTCTCACGGATGACCGTTGCTCGGATCGTCGACGTGGCTTGGTCGAAACCTAACGGAGAGCGGATTGCAATGGTCACTGAAAGAGGAACCGTTCATCTTCTCGAAATGCCATTCAGTGCCTTCACTTGGCCGCCGCCTCGTCGGCGCAAAGCCACGGAAGAAAATGGTGCTCCGGCGTCAGATGCACCAAACTCGGCTGTCTCGATTGCATCCAGTGCCTTCGGCGCTGCCTATCATGCCGCCAGACCCTTGATCACTCGGCCGCGTAGGAGCAGCGTGAACGCTCAAGGTTTGGCCGGTGGCAACTTTGTCGATTCAGCCAGTGTTGGAGGAAGGGCCATTGCTGCGAGCATCAGCCATTCCCTGGGCAAAACCGGCGTCGCTTTAAACCAGCTGCGCCACACGGGAGACAATCGCGTTTCTCTGCCACAAAGCTCACTTCTGCCAGCTTCATCATGCGTCGTATGGATCACTGGTAGAAAATACCATACTCTGTATGTGGTCGGCGACGGCCTGGTGCGAACATTTCCATCCAAGACTCGTCGCCCGTCAGCGGCTGCCAGCAAGCAGCGCACACCTCGAGGACTCCGATACAAGGACTTCAAAGTCCCTGCACTACCCGACGATGGCTTTTCGCAAGCCGTTCGACAATTCATCGACTCAGACGAGTATCTGGATCTGTCAGACCGAGAGATGGACGTGGGCAAGACGTTAACGCTTGACCCGCGCGCCAGACCGCTCCAGGTCGACCTGAGTGCGGAAGCATCCATCCCGCAAGCCGAAATTGAATCCAGCGCACCATACCAGCCGTTCCATACGGATAGGCGAGTGGCTTTGTATGAGTACGCAAGCCCACCCGCTGCCCTGCCACCATCGCTAGCTGCGCTGATGGCCGATACCACGTTAGAAGATCACGCAACACCCAAGCAAAAGAAGAGACAGCAGCGTGCGCGCGCTCAAGAAACGGCTCTGGAAACAAATTATTCGCAACCTTGGGCATTTGGTCAGCCACTCAACCTGGTGAAGCTCGACACTGGACACCTCTCAGTTTCAGAAGACGAATTCAACATTTCGGACGATCACCGCGCGCTCCCGCTGTCTTCGATGGAGAGAGTTATGCACCGTGGAGAGAATGGCGATGAGATTGTTGTTACAACCCGTCGAAGACGTGGGGCGAGGCACACGGAGGATGAGGATGGCTTTTTCGAGGATGACTGTGAAGTGCTTGACTTTGCAGATCAAAGAGTTTGAAAGAGGAACCACGAGGCGTTTGGAGCTAGATTAGACCAGGAGTCATTTCTTGCCATGATTTTGTCTACGGATATCAGGCATCAGCCCAAAGAGACATGCGCGGGCCGAGGCATGAGATCATGGGACAGGATATGTACTTGGCCGGTCGTGCCACTCACTCCTTTATTGGTGATTTTTTGGGGGTTCTCTCTGGCCTAGGGTAGTACCTCCTCGAGCATAATCAGAGTAGAGTAGCCTTGCTTGCTCTTGAGGTGAGCAGCGCGCCCATTCTCCAATAAATCCAGCTTAGATACCCATCTTTGAGCTCTCGCAATTGTGGACCCCGTCTCTTTTGGCCCTCATGTTCCATGCCCGTGTATCGTCGTAGACATCCAACAATAACCTGGACCTCCCAAGCTTCGACATGCGCAATAATTGATAATAGTTTCCCACTTCCGTATCCTTTACGCCTTCTTCTTCGCGGCAACCTTGGCCTTGGCGGCCTTCTTCCTGTTGCTGCGGATCATGACGGTGCCTAGGAAGGAGCCGACGACGGCCGAACCGAGGAGGATGAGAATGACGGGAATACGGATGGCCCAAACGCGCGCAGGGAAGAAGCTCTGGAGAGGGTGGCCCTCATCAACAAAGGGCTGTGGCAGGAGGTGTTAGTCAACCTTGTTGGCCTGTTCGCAAAATAAAAGGTAATGAGGGAGGAGGTGGGTTGGGCTACGTACCATGAGTAGGGTCCAGATGGAGTAGTATGTGAAGATGACAGAGGCAGCCACGAGCATGGCGAAGCCGACGAGAGTTCCGCTCTGTAGTGTAAGAGAATCACTGGTTAGCTAGCTGTTGGCGATGTTTTGGTTCTTTGCTTGCTTGCCCTCCCTTGTTGCGCTCGAGGGTGGGATGCTGGCTATTGAGTGAGTGCGGGCGGGTCCCGCCAACTCGGGGGGGAGGAGCCATGTCAACGTACCATTGTCGATTTTATTGAAAGGGGTGAATAAGGAGTGTGAAGAAGGAATCGACGGGATGGGCGCGCGCAAGTGGTGACCGGTGACTGTGTGAATGGAAAGGCCGATGTAAAAGAAGGGTCGTGGGTGATTGTGGGAAGGAGGTCGAGATGAGGTAAGGCCAGTTAAGGTAGACGCCGATCGGGAAAATTGTCGTCGCGATTTCAGGGGACGAGGGCGCGCCTGTACTGGACCTCTATGGCTGCTGGGCTAAATGGAGCTGCCACGGTTGACTGAATGACTTGAGGTGGACGGTGGACCTCTGCTGCCAAATGCCTTAGCTAAATCCCCTTGCAATTGGGAAGCTCCAGCCGCATGGCCTGTGCTTTCTCCATTAGATAGTGGATCCTCTTCATTCCCCAGCCACACTTGGATTTTTAGGTAACTCTTGCTTGGCGATCCTGTTGCGTCAAAGCAGCAGTAACTTTTCCAGTCCAGCAAAAAAAAAACCCGATACTTCCAGCAATCGGCGCATCTCTGATTCAACTGCCGCCATTCCTCTGGGTCGCAAGATCCCCTGGCTTGATTCCCTATCATCCACAGGACTCTGGAGACGTGAGCATAGACGCACGATGGCATCGGCAGACGTTGGCTCCCCGAGCTTCGAGCGCCGCGAACGCGATGGCGAAATGGAAAACGACCGCGACGGCGGCGACCGTCGACACCACCACCGCGACAACCGCGACAACCGCGACAACGATCGCCTCGGCAACCGAGACCGCGATCGCACCGATAGCTACCGCCCGGCTCCCAAAGAACAACGACGCCCGACGCCGCCGATGAAGACGGAGGAGGAGAAGCAGGCTATCGCAAAGGCCGAGTACGAGAAGCTGCTGTCCATGCGGTCTGGAGGCACCTACATACCGCCGGCGCGACTGAGGGCGCTGCAAGCCCAGATCACGGACAAGAGCTCGAAGGAATACCAGAGGCTGATGTGGGAGGCGCTGAAGAAGAGTATCAACGGTCTGATCAACAAGGTCAACTACTCCAACATCAAGCACATCGTTCCCGAGCTCTTTGGCGAGAACCTGATCAAGGGCCGCGGCTTGTTCTGTCGGTCCATCATGAAGGCGCAGGCGGCTTCTCTTCCCTTTACACCCGTCTTCGCCGCCATGGTGGCCATTGTCAACACGAAGCTGCCTGCCGTCGGCGAGCTCCTGGTCAAGCGCCTCATCATGTCCTTCCGCAAGGGTTTCAAGCGCAGTGACAAGGCTGTCTGCGTTTCGTCTACGACCTTCTTGGCGCATCTCGTCAACCATCAGGTTGCCCACGAGAGACTTGCTGGTCAGATGCTCCTTCTTCTCCTTCACAAGCCGACGGACGACAGCGTTGAGATTGCCGTCAACTTCATGCGCGAAGTTGGTCAACACTTGCAGGATATGCAGCCCGCAATCGCCCTTGCGGTCTGGGATCAACTGAGGAACGTGCTGCACGAGGCGGATATCGACAAGCGTGTGCAGTACATGATCGAGGTCCTGTTTCAGGTTCGCAAAGACAACTTCAAGGACAACCCACCTATCAAGGAGGAGCTTGACTTGGTTGAGGAGGAGGATCAAATCACACATATGGTCGACCTGGACGGTGAAATCGACGTGCAGGATGGCCTCAACATTTTCAAATATGACGCGGAGTGGGAGGAGCACGAGGAGGCCTACAAGAAGCTCAAGGCCGAAATCTTGGGCGAGGGCAGCGACTACGATGACGACGATGACGATGAAGATGAGAGTTCCGAGGAGGAGGACGACGAAGAGGAGAAAGCAATGGAGATCAAGGATCAGTCCAACACCGATTTGGTAAATCTGCGCCGTACCATCTACCTGACGGTCATGTCGTCCATCGATCCCGAGGAAGCAGTGCATAAGCTTTTGCGGGTAAACCTTCCGGCTGGCCAAGAAGCGGAGCTTCCCTCGATGATTGTCGAGATTTGCTCTCAGGAAAAGACCTTTTCCAAGTTTCACGGTCTGATCGGTGAGCGTTTCGCCAAGCTTAACAGGTTATGGACCGGTCTCTTTGAAGAATCCTTTGCCGACTACTACAGCAAAATCCATCGATACGAGACCAACAGGCTTCGCAATGTTGCGCGCTTCTTTGCGCATTTGCTAGCAACCGATGCTATCGGCTGGCACGTACTCTCCGTTATTCACCTCAATGAGGAAGAGACAACGAGTAGTTCCAGAATTTTCATCAAGATTCTCTTCCAGGACATTTCTGAGGAGCTTGGTATGGCAAAACTGCAGGCCCGGATGAAGGACGAGATCCTCCAACCCAGCTTCACCGGGCTGTTCCCGCGCGACAACCCACGAAACATTCGCTTCTCCATCAACTACTTTACCAGTATCGGCATGGGTGCTCTCACGGAAGCTTCTCGAGAATACCTCCAGAACATGCCCAAGCCCGCGTTGCCTGCGCCACCGGCTGATGATTCCGACTCGGAGTCGGTGTCTAGCTACTCTTCGTACACGGGCTCGTCATACTCTCGCTCTCGATCAAGGTCGCGAACGCCTCGACGCGCGATTGACCGCAAGCATGCCGACTCCAGGTCTCCTTCGCCCCGTGGACGGGCCCGCTCGTTCAGCCGGGGTCGCAGCTCTACCAGATCTCGCTCCTACAGTCGTTCAGTCTCACCTCCCAGAAAGGGACGCCGCGACGACTCATACTCGGCGAGCCCTCCGAGAAGACGCGGTCGCTCCGCCAGCTACTCAAGATCACCCTCTCCGGCCCGAAATGGTCCTAGGGGTCGTAGTCTCAGCGTGACACCGCCGCCGCGCCGGGCAGTCCGGAGAAACAGCTCAAGCGTCAGTAGATCTCCTCCCCCAAGGAGAGGACGTTCTGTCTCGCGCTCTGCCACCCCCCCGCCTGCACGAGGCGTACCTGTTCGCAGTCGTAGTCCAGGGCAAGATGCTCGTCGCCCAGTGAGGAGGAATAGTTCATCTGTGAGCAGCGCGCCGCGGAAACGCGCCCGTTACGACAGTCGCTCTCCTAGTCGGTCGCCGAGTCGTGCGTCGTCATATGATTCGCGTTCTCGCTCCCCCATAGACCGTCGTGGGCCGAGAGATAGCCGCTCACCTGTTGCTCCGAGGGCACGAGATGGTGATAGTGCCTCAGCGCCCCCGCTGAGGGCGAGAAACGGCGGTCGCGATGCGTCGCACTCTCGCTCGCCGAGTCCCCCGCCCAAGAGGTCGCTCAAGCGGGGTTCGCCGGATCGAGGCCGGGATTCGAGAAGTCCCATGAGCGCCAAGCGGAGGAGATACAGCGATTCGGTTTCGAGGTCGAGAAGCCCGCCGCCGCTGAAGAAGGGACGAAGATGAGTGAGATTGGAAGGCATGAGCAGGCGAGAGTGTTTATAATGGATTCGCAGGGGTGGATGGAATGTCCAATGTCCAAAGCACGGCACGGGCCAGATTGATATTTGTATAGCTATTCAGATTCGGAATGGGGGACGGTGCCAATGTCTATTGGTGAATTTGCTGCCTCGAGGCGGCTTCTTGACTCGCTTGCTTTCTTGTTACCGCGTGATCATTGTTGAGTCGCTAAGGTGAAATATAGCCCTAGAGTGTTCCTGTCTTGCATATGTAGGTTTGGGATGAGTACTTGCACGTCTAGCTGAAAACCCAATCATCATCAGAACGTGAGGATTATCCGTCCACGCAAGACGAACACACGACAACAACACCATGCACAAAGAAAAAAAGACGACGTGGGAACTTGGGAATGTGCTGAATAGCTAGCAATGCCACCTTTGAGGCAGAAAAGATCAAAAGCAAACGACCGCTTGCGCGATCTTTCGGGTGTTGTGGACGATCAGGGGATTGAACCCTGGGCCTCCCGCAGACGCTGAAGGTATGCAAAGCGGGCGCTCTACCACTGAGCTAAACGCCCCGAGGTGTTGGATGCAAATCAAGTTCTGGTTTGAGCTCAAGTTTGGCGAGTGGGTCTCCTATGGTGGAGTTTGGTCGGGTGTTGGGAGGCGATTTGCTGGGCGGTCGTTTTAGGCAGTCTTGATCCGCGCTGAAATTTTTGTCGTCGGCTTCGAAGCAGAAATTGTATTTGTAGAGTTATTTGCTTTGACTGTGTGTTTGATGTGTAAGTTCAGCTGTTTTGTCGTGTGGTGCAGCATGGTTGGGGAAGCCTTGGGTGATTTGACGCACACCTTGAAAGTGCTGCGCCGGGTGTGTAAATTAATTACGGGATCCTGAACGACAACTGAAGGCAATGGTCCGTTTTTTGGGTGGAGGATGTAAATGAGGTGCTTCCTTTGAATTATGCTGCGTTGTTGGTAGAGGCTTATAGCTGTTAATTCTCTCGGAATTGTAGCGGAGAGATGGGTTTGGATGTCGGTCGTCTGTTTGTGCCTCTCTTCCTACCTCTGAACTTGTTGTTTGTCATCACTTGCGGCATATCTCTTGGCAAACAACAAATAGTCCTAATGTTTGTTAATCCGTTTAAGACAGCTCTAGACCAGGACGCTTTAGCCCGGACCAGGGAAGCAGTCGGTGTTTCGCAGAGAGAAGTCTCGTATAGAATCGAAATGCCTCCATCGAGGGAGGCTTTCATTATACAAATCGCTATGAAAGCTTGAGTAAACATGTCATGTCCCGTCCTAGAGAGGGAAACATACATCTCGTACATGGGATATCCAGATGCTAATCGCCTTCATCCACCAGAACCCGTGGTCGTACAAATCCCCTTTTCCTCTCAAATACATCCCAGAGTTCGACCTCGGTTCACCAGCCATCTTGAGACAGCTCTCCCCAGTAAACACATTGTCCTGGAGGGAATTACACATCGCGACGAAACCGATCTCCCTCTTCTCCTACCCAAGAAGAACCTCAATTCGGTCCCTCGCAACCGCATCCCATACTCTCTGCACAACATGCCCGAGCCCCCTCCGGTAACACACCCCGCCAACCCTCTCCACCCAAAGCACATTGACAAAGTCCACAATCTCGTCCTCGTCCATATTATCCCGGAACGCATCCAAGTCAAACACATGACTCCCTCCCCTCTCGCTCGCCATCGACACGGCCACGAACTCGAGCTTCTCCTCCCCGGTATGGTTGGCCCCCTGCAAGCCCAGCCAGCTATCGTGCGCCGTCACCACGCCGCACCACTTGCCCGTCCTCGACCAGATGTTTCCCACCGCCAGCGGGACGCCGTACCCCCGTCCAGGCGCAACCAGTCCCGTGCCAGGCCCCGTGTTGTTGCCCGAGTTCACCGCGTTGGCCGCCTTCGCGTCAAGCGGCGCCCCGTTCTTCGCTATGGCGAAGTCCACGTCCAAGTACGCCACCGTCGTACTGAACGAAAGCAGCGTCGCGCTCAGCGAGAAATCCCCAAACGGCGACGTCCCCGCCCCCAATAACCCTTCCGCTCCTCCTCCTCCTCCGCCAGCCATCTCCGCCACAGGCACCGGGTACCGAAACACAACCTCCGGGTCCCCCGCATACCGGAACCCGCCCCCGCTCCTCGACCACCCAGCAGGCAACGGCACCGTCCTCCGATGTCTCCGATCCCGGTACGCCATCCCATCATTCGGCAACGGCGTGTACGTCGCCCGGTCCGTGAGCTCATAACTCACCAACCCCCGCAACCGGAACGCATACGGACTCTTGAACCGCCTCTCCGCGCCCCTCTTGCCCTGGTGATGATGCGCCGGCGCCTCCTGGACGTAGTCCGCAGCCGCCCGCCAGAGCGTCAGGTCCGCAGGCACACCATCATAGTGCCAACCCAACCAGCTCCACGACGGCAGCGGATTCATACCCGTCACGGGCTGCACCATCAGCCGCCGCCGCACCATCGCCCTCGGCTGCCACAACATCGCGACATCCAAAAAGCTCACCGGCATCCCAAACACAAACCCCCCCGCAAACGACCGCGAGAGCACCGTCGTGATGCCCCGCAGCGCCCTCGTCGTATCCGACATGAGCGTCACCCGCCGCGCGCTAAACTCCATCGCGATCCGCGCGTACTCGTCCATGTCGGGCCACACGGGGTGCAAATACCCCGTCGCGGCAGGGAACGTCCTCGACAGACACGGCCCCCCGCCGCCGCCGTGCCTCCCCAACCCTCCGCCCTTGAGGATCTTGCTGAACCTGCCGCCGCCCCCCGCCGCGCCCGGCGGTCCCTGCCACGCGTCGCAGTGGCACTCCCACGTCACCGTCTCCTCGAAAACGTACACCTTCCGCCGCGAGTACATACCCTCCTGCACCGTCCACGCCCGGCCCGCCCATCGCGACGAGAGCACAAGATCATCATGCTTCCTCCCCGCGGCGCCCCGCGGCGGCGGCGTCCTCCGCAACAGGCCCGTCAACCCGGATTCTGCGTCGCCCGCAGCCGCCACGATGGTCATGTACGCATTCGCATACACGTACGCCATATTCTTAACATACTCCTCCCTCTCCACATCATCATCCTGCACGATACAAAACCGGTCGACCCAGAGGTACTTGATCCCCAGCTTCCTCGCCAACCACATGGCATCCAGAATCGTCTGCGGTATATCCGCATCATCCATGCTCGCCGTCAGCACCTCCAGATTCTCCCGCAACGTCTCCACGGGACCCCGCGACGAAGGCAGCGGCGGCTCGTAGACGTAGCTGAGCGCGATATACCGATCCGTCGCCCTCGCGCGCACAAGACACCGGTTCACCGAGTCAATCAGCCATATCGGCCGCCACGTATCCGCAGGCGGGCCGGAGCAGTGGTCGCCGTGCTCGGCGTTACACGTGTCGAGCCACTCGCGCACCCTGCCGACGGGGTTAAACGCCTTACTCGCTGTCGAGGCGGATGAAGCGCGGCGCGAAGGGAGCGTCGACGACGCGGCTGCGGCCGCGGCCCCTACGCCCGGCGGATGATCCCCTGCGCCGCGCGCCGCGCCTGACCGCGCTGCCGTCCAGGTGCTCATGAGGCGCTCCGTGATGCTCTGCCTTTTCGCACCGTTGTTGGCGCTGTTGGGGGGTACGCTCTGCTGTCTTCTCGCGTGGCCGTTGACGTTGCTGCGGCCCCCTTCTCCTTGGTACTTTTCGTCCGGCGCGAAGCTCTGTCGCTTTCGTTCCCTTATGCGAGGGCTGTCTCGTAGGCGGGGGCTGCCTCTCAGGGGAGGGCTGTCGCGCAGGCTTCTGTCGCTGTCTCTGTCTCTGTCCCGATCTCTGTCGTAGTCCCTTTCGCGGTCCCTGTCCCTGTCCCTGTCCCTTTCTCGATCCCGATCCCGGTCCCTGTCCAGTGGTGGCGATGGCGGCAGTCCTCCTCCTCCTCCTCCCCGTCGCTTCGGTTCCGGCCCCCGGGATCTGTCCCTGTCGCGATCCCTATCCCTATCTCTATCCCGATCACGATCCCGCAAGTCACGATGTCGTTCTGCACGAATATCTCTCTCCCTGCTTCCCCTCGGCGGCGGCGGAACGTGTGGCTGCGACCGCCTCTGCGGCGGTGGCGAAGGCGTTTCGGGTCTATATCTGCCGCCGGCAGCCGTAGGATCGCCGCGGCGATGCTTTTTGTTGTCGTGGTCGTGGTCGTCACCTGGATCCTCCTCATCCGACATTGAACTGGCCGAACTTTCGTCGTCGGATATAATCTCTACGCCAGGTGGCACATCTCCTTCTCGCCTGGTCGTCCCTGCTGTAGGTGGTGGTGGTGCTGCCGCACCGCCGCTGCGGTCGGCGGACGGACTCGGGTGGTCCATTTGTCTTATAATCTGTCCCCCCCTTTCACCTCACTTTTTCTCTCTCTCAAAGCGCAAAGGTCCCCTCTCTTCTCCCCGTTCCGTTGTATGAGATTTGCGTGACTGCTGCAAATGCAAGCTGTAAATTGCGCGGCCCCTCATGCGCTTGCAGCTACGTTGCGCTCGCCGGGCTTGAGCAGTCGCCCTGCTTTGGTTCCGCAGCAACGGGAATCCGATCTTTGGCGTAAACCTGTTCCTAGTTCCTACTCGGCCTCCCTCACGAAAAAGAGGTCTGTTCCTCTTGGCCTTTTTTTTGCTGTTGCGCCGTGACACTAGTGAAGTGTGGCTCGGTGAGACCGTGCGAAACGGAGGTTTTCTTACGGGAGGGCGCGGGAAATTCTGATATGCAGGGCAAAGACGAATCACGGGCGTTGCGCTGATGTTGAAAGTCCGATGGACGATGATGATAATGAGGTGTTCAATTGCTTGCGATGAAATGAGATTAGAGATGGGTGAGATGAGATGAGAAAGTCGTGGTGTGTGTGTATTGCGTCGAGATTGAAAATGAATGGCTTTGCGACAGCGTTAGTACGCGCAACGCCACGCAATGTCAGTGAGACTTGACTGCGATGTGAGAGGTGCTGCTGCGGCGCGCGAGATGAGTGTGTGAGCAGAGAAGGTGAGAGGTGAGAGGTCGAAAAAGGCACTGCCACCCCCGGCCCGACCCAACCTCGATCGTTCTCCCCCCCAGCCCCCTCTATTACAACCAAATTAACAGAGACACATTGGGCATAAAAGTCGATGCTCTTTTTTCCTCGATGGATTAGATCAATGGTTGGGCTGTCATAATTTACAGGGCCATTCCCTACCTAATGATCTCCCAACATCTAATTAGCCGAGCACGTCAATACCCAAAAAGCAATTGACCCATGCAAATGTTGATGGGTGACAGCTCTCGATCGACTGAATGCCTGTATATGTATCCGCACAGCGTCAAACATCACGATGGTGGCTACCAAGCAATTGGGATACACATTATGTGTTCAAGTCCATCGTACTCACATCTATTAAAATACATTTGCTTGCTAGTCTAACAAACTTCGCAACAGGTCCCTGCCATCGTCGACCGGGACAGAACTTTCTCCCCCCCCCCCCCCTTCGTCGCCATCCACCACCATTCAACTAGTTCCCTCTGCGGCCTGATTTATGGCCCATGGTATTTGTATCGAGTGCCATTCCCGCCGTTACCTTTACACGTTCCAAAAGCCTCCCAATCCTGTACGCCTTGTTAATGTGCAACAGTCTTTGATGTTTTTGCAGTTGAGTAGACCACCGCGTTGCGTTTGCTTTGGTCGTCTCTCGGCTGTATGCCATCGCCATTTTCTTTTTAGCATCAAATCCCCAAATAAAAAAAAAACTTCACAAACGTCATTAAACGTCAACTGTGATCACTGAAACGTCGAAATCAACAAACCCCCATTCGGCTACTCCTTGTCGCTTTGCGCACCGTTGCTGGCTCCGTTTGCATCCTTGACGCCGTTGGAAGCCGAAGAAATCAGCTTGATCCTCGTTGTGGATGTTGCTGGTTGAGGCGTTCCGGCGCTCGCACTCGCACTAGGCGCTACGGAGCCCTCCTTGCCGCCATCGCTTTCCAGCTCCTGCAACTCTGGATGCTTGTCGAGAGCTTTCTGGAGTTCTTCGTGGAAGAATTTCTGTGCCAGAGTTAATTGAATGGTCAAGTATGTAGAGTCAGAAGTTACTAACCTGAAGAGTAAGAGAGTCCTGGTACAGAAGCGATGCCTCCTCGTTGTAAGTCTGGCAGTTGCGGAACATGAGGTCGACGTCCTTGCGCATGTCGCCGAGGCTGTGGTACTGCTGCTTCTTGATCTTGGTCTCAATTTGCTTCATCGAGATGGGGGCCTGAATGATCAAGTAGTAGTCGGCGTAGTCACGCTTGGGTGGTAGCGCAAGGAAGGGCCCGATGATGATTCGCTTGCCCGCAACCGACTCGTCATCATCCTCCTCTGGTGGCTCTGGATCATCTACCTCAAGGTTCATGAGTCCGTCGAATAGAGCCCGCGTATTTGCCTGGAGGAGTTGGCGTTGCTGAGCCGAGACTCGCGGCGTCTCGGACCCAACAGAAACGGACACCGCCTTTGCTCTACCTTGCGGGCCACGACGCTTCTTAGCCGGAGGCTCATCGTCCCCTTCTTCAGCCTTGCGCTTCTCCTGGTTCTTCGCAGCTCCTTTGCCTCGGCCTCTCTTCTTGGGAGTTTCTTCCACCTCCTCAGTACTGGCACGGCTTGCAGGGGGAGAGTCGTCAGCAGCGTTAGACATGCCGGACCTCTTGAGCCTGTTAGTCTCCCGCTTATCTTTGCGGGCTTGCTTTCGTGCTGCTGCCGCCTCTGGTGAGTCGTCATCGTCATCGACAGCCATGAGCCACTGCTCTTCCGTGAGACCGTCATCGTAGCGAACCTTAGTTCGTTCACGAGCTCCACGTCCAAGACTTGTCTCAATCTCCTCCTCAATCGGGTTGCCATCGCCAAGGTAGATATCAGGAAGTTCATCCTCCGCCAGGAGACGAGGCTTGGCGTTTGCTCCGGCTGCCTCGCCATAAGTCTTATCTTGCTTCCGCTCCTCGTCGAGTTTCTGGAAAACGCCGACTTCGTCGTCGCTACGAGCGAGGAGCAAGTTTAGCTCCTCGTCGTCCATCTCGTCCTGATCTCCCGTCTCCGCCATGTCGGCAGTTTCTAGGAGGGTACGCAACATGGCATCACGATCTGTTTCCGTCGACTTGTTGTCGAAGCGGCCAGCTTGAATGACCTTACCGTCCATGTCGAGCTTGAATCTGGCTCTCTCCAAGATCTTCTCTTCAACCGAATTGGAACTAATGAGACGAAGAATTCGCACCTCGTTCTTTTGCCCGATACGATGAGCACGATCCTGTGCCTGCAAATCTTGATGAGGATTCCAATCGGAGTCGTAGATGATGACAGTGTCAGCAGTCTGCAAGTTCAGACCAAGACCACCAGCACGAGTCGACAACAAGAACATGAAGTAGTCCGAGTTGGGAGCATTGAACTCGCGCAGCAAATCAGAACGCTCGTCTGACTTGGTTGTACCATCAAGACGAAGATACTTAAGGTTGCGGTATCTGAGGTAGTCCTCCATGATGTCCATGATGGCCGTCATTTGGAAGAACATTAGAACGCGATGGCCCGTCGCCTTGTACTTTGGCAGGATTCTGTCGAGAAGCTCAAACTTGCCGGCTGTTCGCCATAGCAAGTCGTTACTGATGCTCATAGGATTCATGAGATTCTCGACCTCGTCAAACACAAACGGATGGTTGCAAAGCTTGCGAAGCTGCATAATCATGTTGCTCAAGCCGCGAGCGCCAGCTTTGCCACCCTGTCCGTCGCTGACGAGGATCCTGTTGTGCGTGACCATCTGCTTGTAAAGCTTGGACTGCAAGGCAGAGAACTTGCACTTGATGACCTTCTCGGTCTTGTCCGGGAGATCCTTCTCGACATCCTTCTTCAGACGACGAAGCAAGAAAGGACGCAGCACCTTATGCAGGCGACGAATGACGAGAATCTGTTCTTCTTCGGTGAGTTCCATCTTATCTTGTCCACCAGTGTTGGCAAAAGGTGTGTTGAACCACTCGTCGAAGGTTGTTGCAGACTTGAAAATTGTGGGAAGCGTGAAGTTAAGCATGGCCCACAGTTCCGTGAGGTTGTTCTGGAGCGGGGTACCAGTCAAGATGAGGCGGAATCGCGTGTTGTAGTATTGCTGGATAGTGGTTGTCAACTTGGAGTTCTGGTTCTTCATGCGATGACCTTCGTCGATAATCATGTGGAACCACTTGATCTTGCTCAGAATTGGTCGATCCTTGATGATGTATTCGTATGTCGTGAGCAGCACCTGGAAACGCCCTTGGCGGATCTTGTCCTGATGCACTTTTCTGGCCAGGGGAGGACCCTTGTAGACGATCTTGCTGACAGAAGGCGCCCACTTCTCGAACTCGAGTGTCCAGTTGGTCAAAGTACTGAGAGGCACGATGACCAGGTAGGGGCCGTCCTGCTTCTTGCGCTCAATGAGATACGTGATCAAACTGATGGTCTGGATAGTCTTGCCGAGACCCATCTCGTCGGCAAGAATACCGTTCAGGTTGTTGTTGTACAGGGAAATCATCCACTGCAGACCCTTGACCTGGTATTCCTTGAGCTTGCCACCCACCAGGATATCGGCCTGTTCTGTGACCTCTTCCTTGATGCGATGGGCAACAGCGTAGTAGTCGATCTTCCGTCCGCTTGTGTCGTCGTCATCCTCCTCGGGTTCGCTCTCTTCCTCCTCCTCCTCAGGCAACTCCTCGCCAGTCTGCTCCAACAAGGCCTTTCTTTGCTGAGACTTGACGGAAGCAGCGAGTTGACGCAAGAATCCATCAGTCTGCCTAAGAAGATGGGTAATGCGAGTATCCTTGGCCTCGTCAAGCAACTTGAGATAAGCCTCTTCATCGTTAGCCTTAAGAGCTTGCAGACGCTGCTTGGCAGTACGCTCAATCCTCTTCTGCTCTTCCTTTTCAATATTGTAGTGCTGGGCAAACATGAGCTTGTTGAGCTTGGTGGACTTGTTGCGCTGGCTTGATGCGGTTTGCTGGATCTCGTTCCTGTGTTGCGTGATGGCGGCCAAGAAGTCAATGTGTCTCTTCTTCTCGCGATTCTCCCGGATATCACGTTGCTGCTTCTCAAGCTTCTCTGTGATTCTGGCTTCGCGAACCGTCATCTTCTTCGTGCGGCGGTATCCGGAACGGTTGGTCGTCATCGCAAGGTTGTCATAGAACATCATCGAACGGCCAATCTTATCGCGCAGCGCCTTCTGCTTGGCGTACAAGCCTAGGCTCTTCATCTCGATGATGGCCTTAACCTTTGCACTGTCATCCAATTCGACATCGTCCTTGGTGGTATCCCAGTGGGCAATGTTTGCTGGAGTATTTCTGAGCTCGGCGAAGCGATCTCTCATGC